GATTCGGTTGGTAGACGGTGCCGCGAAAAGCCAGCATACCTAGAAGTGATCTCGAACGTCGTTCCGAAGATCTGAGCTCGTACGAATTCGGCCATGGCGAATAACGAGCTATAGTTTATTATAGGAGGCGGGGTTGGTGAGAAAGTTTGGACGGCGATCAAAAAATAAATAAGGGTGAGACGACGGAGCGTTGTTAGCTATCGAAACGAGGGGGGGGGGAAACGAGGGGCAGAAATTCAGATGATAGCCGTGTACAGTTAGGTTAAGTTTACTGTATAAATCGGTAGGGGGATAAGCGTGGCGTAGATAAGTATAGGTAGAGTTTAACGACCTTTACTTTCTGTTAGTTAATCCTTTTTCTCCTCTTCCTTTTTTTTTTTTCTTTCCTTCTTGTTCTAATTTTTGAAGGGTGGGAATATAGAAAAAGGTATAGAGAAGGCTAAGGTCAAAATGAATGGCAATCTTGAAATGCCGTTGAGAGATGGGAAAAAAGTGGGATGAAAGAACAGGATTTTCCAGTTGAGAGAGTTGGGCTGTGCTGTGGATAAGGTTTTGGAACACGTTGGAACGGCGATTCGAAGACACTTTTTCCAGTGGCGATCGCGATCGAGGATTTCTATGTAAAAATAAGAAACAAAAATGCTAGACCTTTTATCACTTAGCAAGTAACGCTACCTATGTAGTATGTTAGGTACCTAAGGTACGCTATCCACCTATTAAGGGCTACCCCTGGCCATTCGTGGTGCGGGCGTTGCGGGCAAGTTGTGACAAGTGGCTGATGCTATGCGAAAGAACCTACCTTACCTATAATAATATGTAGGTACAAAGACTACTTATAAGTATAGGCTTATATAACCTGTCGAAGAAGTACTTGTACTAAACAGATGTAGATAGAAGAGGTAGGAAAGTCAAGGTAGGTACCTAATGATAATACCAGGTAAGTATGAGCTACATATCGCTCTTACCCTTATGTGCTTGAATCACTTAGGTACACTAGTAGGAGAAACTAGGCCCGCTTATAAAAGAAACTACATGTACCTTGGTAACTTATGTAGGTATAGTAAGGTACATTCATACCTCATAATTTCAAGTACCATAACCACACGGGTTTAGTCGTATCTTCTTAGCAATAAATAGGTGTCGTTTTTCAAGACGGAGAGCCTCCAATAACGAATGCGTTATTAATTTCGTGCTGTTGCCGTTATTGTATTGCAACGTCCGTGGAAGAATATCAACTAGGCTTAGTTTAGCGATAGTACGAGAATATCAGATATAGGATATAACCAGTCAATCATGCGAAGAGACGATGCCATGCCATGCCGGTTAGCATGATGCACGACTATCTGATGTTTCCCATCTCTGATACCTTATGTACCTAACTTGCAGCCGGTTCCCCAACATGGCAGTTGGCATGTTGTATCCTTATGTAATAATAGAGACTAAAAGATACCAGTGCATACATATATGTATAGTTTTAGGTTATATGTAACTAACTAGTTATATTATTTATATTATTTATATTATCTATGAATAGTAACAGTAACAATAAAGTAACAAGATCAACCGCGCTCACCTCCTTAAAACTTGAATGTATCGTACAAAGAAAAAAAAGAGAAAAAAAACTTTTTAAGGATGGGATTTGACAGAAATGCCGTCCTAAAGTTGTCCTAATATTCTAAATGCGAACCTGACCGCACGTGGTGGGAAAATTAGAGTGTCGATCTCTGCTGGCATCCGTTGATAGGTAGCGTTCGACAATATAAATTCTTGAAGTGGTGGGAAGAATGAGGTGCCGACCGGGTCTCAGTACCTATAGGTGTTACACGAGGATCGGCCCGTTAGAGCTACCTGTTGCGATTATATATAGGTACCATATAATGTACATATAGTAAAACTACCTTGGTAGAAGCAAGGGCTTTTGAAGTCTCAACTCAATAGATGAATAACGATTGACCATATTGTACATATTATTCCCCCCAAAGATAAGAAGCCTGAGGCGGCACAGCATGAGGCTCTTATTTCGTAAGTTGCATTTATGATAGGACCTACATATTGTATTGATATCCTTCTATATATTTCTATCTTTTCTATCTGGTGCCTCCCCAGCTCGCAAGGTTATTTGTCGAATTTATGACAACAGCTAGCAGACAAATGTTTTTGGCCCATAATTTGCTTCATCGACGTTGAAGCGAGCACAAGCACAAGCACACCGAGTATGGGGATATGTTGAGTTAAAGATGCATATATGCATAGGACTACTGTAGATGTTACTATAGTAAATGCAGTATTGCTTTGCGTTGGTGAGTGTCACCCTAATGGTAGGCTAATAACGCCGACGAGACTGGGTTGACCGGCAGAAGATCTATTACTTCCGCCTCCTTACATCGCTCTGCCGATTCCGAAGACGGCTAGGGGGGGGGATAATTCAACGGGAATGTCATCACGTACAGGTCCATCTTCCGAATCATAACTCGACGAAGGCACCACCTTGATAAAAAATGAAAGATGCCTGCTCTAAAAATCAGCACCAGCAACCAATCCGTAACCAATCATCAACCAATCATGTGTACGTTGTTCTCCTCTTAGAGACGAATGACGTCATGTCTGGTTACTCCTCCATTGCCCCTCAATTTTGTATAGGCGCAAAATCCCCAGGTAAGCAAGGTACATCCTAGATTAGACATACATGGACATGTCTAACCTAGGATGTAGACATGCATCCAATGTATATGCTGCAAGTCGGCAACTTGATCCTACTTGATCCCACTTGATCCGCATCTCTAAGTGCGCGGGTATGCTGGTAGTAACATCCATGGTAGTAACACCGCAATGAAGAGATTTTGTTAATGTGATTTATGCTAATAAGCCCTTTGGGTTTTTGACGAAGAATGACCCTGGGTAGTCGGCCAGTGACAAAAAAAAGGCACCATAGATGCGAAAAGGCCAAGCAAAATGTCCTTCAGGATCCGACCATATGCATGCCTGGCATGGTAGGCCTTCGCAAGGTATCCGACAATCGAATTCTACGCGTACCATCGCCGATGCATGTATCCCGTCAGCCTCAACCTTCGTCCGCTGTATGGGCCATAACATCCCCTATAGGGTCTATAGGGTCTATAGGGCCTATAAGGTACTAACCCCAAAGCGCAAAAGAGGGCTCGTGACCCGTTTTCCAGCAGCGCTAGCACCTGAGATCCTTAGGTAACGAGGCGGTCTACAAAAATTACATACCAATCGAGGTACCTAACCTTGTGGAGTTGGTCGTGCTAAAAGGCGGTTCCTCACGATCCGGTCAAAGGCTTCTCGGCTCACCGTCCTGATTAGGTAGGTAAGCCCTACATAGGGTACAATAGAGGAAGAGGGGGAGGAGTTCGAAATGGAGAGACGGCGCCAGGGCACAACTTACATGCGATGACGTATGTCAACTTTCCTTATTCTCAATCGGAGGATAAACCGGGCCAATGAAGAAACCGGGAGTCAAGACATTCCCATACGAAAACCATATGAAAAAGAATTCTAAGAGCTAGGGAAGGACGAGTATTGGACGTATTTTGACATGCAGAACCCGGAGCATTCGCTCCATCAGTTATCGTCAGTTATCATCAGTTATAACTTTGTGTATTTTGTGGAACTTGGAGATGGATCTTGGGGGATTTAACTTTTACCAGATGCTGACTTATTACCTAAGATAAGAAAATCCGGTAGTTAGGTTAATAGTATAAGATTTATTGACGTCATTCTTCAAGAACGAGAAACTGGACACTTACTCACTACGTATTACGCATAAACCAACATACTGATGACATCGTTAGCACTAACGAAAAAAAAAAAAAAAAAAAAAAAAACACCACTGTCTTATCTCCAATATAATTAAAAGCCCAAAATATTTAGTCATATCATACGAGAATAGGTTATCTTTTCGTAAGCAAAAAACAAAAGCTTTAGCTAGAGATATCGTCATAATTACCTACTCTTCGAGGTTGGACCCTGAATAAGTTTCCTAGATAAAAACAACTGGACCCTGACGATCAATTCTCTTGTAAGGCTGGGGGATCGTCTAGGGGATCACCTAATGTTAATTGAAGCCGTCACTATCTATGTATCGACGGTATGGGAAACATGGACATCGTACCTTTTCCCACCCCCAGACCCCGCGAGACAAGATCAAACAATCACATACTTCCCCTTCGTACCAGGAATACCCCTTCTCCATTATACACGATGAACCACCCCTAAACTTGTATGTATGTCTAGGCGCAGAAACACCATGCTCGGTGACATCACCGTCGGCATATTCCTCTTCGTGGGGTACACCACTACCAATCTTCTAAACTTCTAGACCTAGGTCTTTCGCTTAAGGACTAGACGTTAAATCCCTTTTCTACGAGCCATCATACATAGACCGATTACTAACAAGTACTGTACCTGACACCGACGGGAAGTCGCCCAGTGCCGGCGTTGTCGAACGTAGAAGTTATGTGACTAGGGCTAGGGTTAGTCGATGGCTAGTAACCCTCCGATGACTCTAGGTTAAGAGGTACGATTGCCTCGACGGCTTTACATTCGAGGCAACATGAAGCTTATTTCTGAAATATCCCTTAGACCGACTAACCAACCTTACGTAACCTTTGTAATATGGTAGGTTTTACCTGTAATTCTGGGATAATGTCTGTCAGTGACGTTCATTGTTAGATGGCATCTTGATTGCTGTGAGTCCGCATATATCCATCACATTAGAAGCAGTATGTACGAAAATATAACTGCGTGGTCGATACTTAGAATGGTATTCATTATCATTCCTACTATAATCGTAGCCCCTATCCCTAGCCTCCTCATCATATAACCTAGTAGTATCCCTCATCTCAACATCTACTAAGCCGTTCACCAAAAATCCCTTACGACACGCATTTTTCACCTTGAGGGATAATCACTATATGCAATCCCTAAATGTAGAGCCTCTACTTAGCCACATGTAGATAGCATACCTTCGAAGAAGACACTTATACAGCAAGGGGCTCGACATTCCAGATGCCCTCGGCGTACTCGTTGATGCACCTGTCCGAGCTGAAGAAGCCCATCCTAGCAACGCTACGGATGCACTTCGAGACCCACTCGTCCTGGTTGCGGTATTCATCGTCTACCATCCTCTGGGTATCGATATATGATTGGAAGTCATCCGACACTAGATAGTAGTCGCCATGATCGCGAACGGCCGAGATCAGCGCGTTGAAGTCGTTAGAGTCGCCGAACTTGCCACTCTTAATAGCCTCGAACACTTCGTTCAGGCCAGAGTCGATTGCGTGCGAACCGTACGTGTGCGCGTGGCGCAGATCCTCCACGTCCTCGGATAGGGTGCCGAAGAGGAAGATGTTTTCTTGGCCGATTTCTCGGGTGATTTCGATCTGATATTCGTGAGTTTCTAAACTGCAATAAGAAAATTGTAGCGGACTTACATTAGCTCCGTCGCATGTCCCGATGATTAAACCGCCGTTCAGCACGAATTTCATGTTGCTGGTTCCGGACGCCCTATCTGTGTGTTAGCTGCCGATTTATAACAACCTATAGTCTGGGACTCACTCTGTGCCGGCAGTTGAGATGTGCTCGCTGAGGTCAGAAGCAGGAGTAATCATCTCTGCTTTACTGACGTTGTAGTCTTCCAAGAAGATGACCTTTAGGAGATCACCAATATCGGGGTCCTTGTTAACGACAGCACCGACGCTGTTGATGAGGTGGATAATCTGTTTCGCCATCCAGTAGCCAGGTGCAGCCTTGCCACCGAAGATCGAGACACGAGGTAGCTGTTTCTTCCTCTCTTCGGGACTTAAGGCCTTGAGCTTCAGATACCGATAGATGACGCCGAAGATGTTCAGTTGCTGTCGCTTGTATTCGTGGATACGTTTGACCTGGACGTCAAACAGAGACGACGGGTTTACCGTAACGCCTGTGGTGCTCTTTATGTACTTCGCAAGCCGGACCTTGTTGGCGTATTTAATCTCGGCCCATTCCTTTCTGAATGCTTTGTCGTTGACATAGGTCTCTAGCTTATTGAGGAGCGTGAGATCTTTCAAGAAACTGAGACCGCCAATTTTACTAGAAATCAATTCCGAAAGTCGGGGGTTTGCTTGATGTAACCACCTTCGAGGTGTGATACCGTTTGTGACGTTGGTAAATTTGTCTGCGCCGAATATGTTGACAAAGTCCTTGAAGATAGTCGTCTGGATGAGGTCTGAATGCAGTTCGGCAACGCCATTGACCTTGTGAGAACCAACAACGGCCAAGAACGCCATGCGGACCATCTTTGGCTGAGATTCTTCAATAATCGAAACCCGGCTTAGTATGTCCCGGTCATCTGGGAATTTCTTTTCTACGCTCTGTAAAAAGAAAAGATTGATGTCATATATGATCTGGAGATGGCGAGGCAGAAGATTCTGTACTAGACCGACGGGCCATTTCTCCAGAGCCTCGGGCAAAACTGTGTGGTTCGTGTAGCCAAACTAAAACATAGATACCTGTTAACAAGATAGAGCCAAATATGGCTAATTTTCAGAGAGTACTCACGGTTGACGTGACTATCTGCCAAGCCTCATCCCATTCAAGGCCTTCTACGTCTACCAGTATCCGCTGGAGCTCTACAATGGCTAGTGTTGGGTGGGTATCGTTAAGCTGGATTGCAACTTGGTCGGAGAATTCACTCCAGGCACGCTTCGTCTTCTTGAATCGACGGACGATATCGTAGAGCGAAGCAGCAACCCAGAAGTACTGCTGCTTAAGACGCAGCTCCTTTCCGCGGTCAAGGTTGTCATTCGGATATAAAACGGCACTGATGGTCTCCGCTCTTTGCTGGTCTGCTACGGAGCTCTCATACTCCCCGCTGTTGAATTTCTGGAAGTCGAATTCACCACTAGCGGCTTTGCTGGACCACAGTCGCAAGTTGTTAGTAGAAGGCGTGTCATAACCAGGAATTGGTACGTCGTAAGCGACAGCAGTGACAAATTCACCCCCTTCCCAGAAGGCCACCGTCTTTCCGTTCTCGTCTTGGGCTTTGCGAACGTTGCCGTGGAATTGGATCTATATTTTCTGTTAATCAACGTTATGTAAACATAGACTAGCTATCAGATAGCAACTCACGTCGACTGTAATATCGTGTCTTGGAAATTCCCACGGGTTGAAGTCGAGCCAGTAGTCAGGAACCTCGACTTGGTATCCGTCGATAATCTCCTGCTTGAAAATACCATAGCGATATCTTAAGCCGTAACCCCAGGCGGGATAGTTTAAGGAGGCGAGACTGTCGAGAAAGCAAGCCGCAAGTCGTCCAAGTCCACCATTGCCCAATGCAGCATCGTGTTCTTGGCCAATGATGTCTTCGATGCGAAATCCAAGCTCGTCAAGTCCCTCTACAAAAGAATTAGCTACCTTTTAACTAGTTATCTGATCAAACAGAGAGAAGTCGACTATGCCTTACCTTTAGCAGTGGGTTTAGCACCAACATTGAGCATAGCATTGTCAAGAGCACGACCCATCAAGAACTCTAAACTCAGATAATAGACGCGCTTGCTATCTGTGAAGGTCTGGCGCTGCTGAGTCTTGTTCCACTCCTTAACTAAACGATCACGAAATGCTAAACTTGTAGCCGAGTAAGCAGCCGACTCGTCGCAGTTGAACATGCTACGAGCCAAGGTTGTCTCGACATGGCGAACAACCTCCTTCTCAAACTCATCCTTTGTCTTGAAGCCATCGAATTGGTGCTTAGTCCATGTCGCACGTTGAGGCTCGGGGATCGCCGCTACAAGAGGATAATAGGGGTTAGTAAGTGGTCCAATTATAATAATGATAAGGAGGTGATCCCTTTAGGAAATGATCGAAGCCACCAGAAGAACACATGACTTATACGAACCTTCTACGTTCTTGATCTCGTTGGCTCCAAAACCCGTGAAGGTACGCTTATGTTTCGGGCGAGAGATGCCCGCGGGGCCTACAGAACCGACTATGTCGACAATAGGAGCGGCTGTGGAGGGGCGGCGCTCCCTGGTTGGTAAACTCGACGTCATCTTGGAACTTTGAGCTTATAAGTTTGAAGCTACCCCTTAAAATAGGATGAAGTAGTTAGAATTCACGGAAAGCTGAGACTCAGTAATTAGGAAGAAAGAAAAACAACCGCCATCCTCTATTACAAGTAGACGAACGATCAAAGACTAGTTGGCACGACAATACTTAACATACCTAGGTAGGTCTAAGAGAGGAGCTAACGATAAGCAGAAGCAAGGATGGTGGATGATGGAATGAGGGGGCGGGGTTAGTCGATGGAGATTGGAGCTCGTTCTTTGTGAGAGTAGAGAGCTCTGGTTCCTGGTCCGATGTCGATCACCGCGGGGTACTTATACGGTCGATATCCTCTCCCGTAACACGACAACACTTCCTATCCCACGAACGGAGTAAGAACGAAAGTAAAGAGGAAAGGTTCAGGAGGCAAACAAAGGGAAAAAAATTGCGGGCATCAAGGCAAATAAAGAGGGAACATGGCCCGGTGACATTTAAGAGGAATCGGAGCGATGGTGGATACTGAGTTACCGGGGGGGAAGAGTTCCCAGAAGAAATCATGCCACAGCTAAGGCACGATGACGAAGGGAAGCCTGTGGAAGCTGCATGCACTATGCTGTAGAAGTATAGAACCGTGATCAATTGGCAAAAGCGGTAGTCGTAGAAATGTGCCTCTACCTCTACGTAGTGCCTAATGTATAAGTTATAACCTGACATATCCCAATCACTATATTCTGTCTTATTAGAGAACTGATATGCGAATAGGGAGATGGATGTATGGAGCTCTACGGGTAGTGCGGAGAGGTATACTACCTTAGCATGTACGATTGGAACCACTCGTATAAGTCTGGAACTGTTAGCTAACGTTGTACTAGCCAACGGTCTAAGATATATTTACGAGCTAGCCTAACATTTGCTAAACTCGAGGACCACTTGTTTCCCATGGGGGAGCACAAGATGATTTCTAGAGAGATATAACTCGCTATACTGTTAACTGGCCCAGTTCCCTTATATTGCTTAGGGACGTTAGATGGGCATGATATACTAACGTGAAGCGTTGAGCTAATATTACCCCCCCTTTTTGTCGACATCGGAGTATCAAAACCTCCCACCCAACGACAACTAGAATATGCGGCTGGAGGTCAATATCCGAACTTCCATGGTTAGGGACTCGCAGACAGCGGCTCTGTTAGTCAGTGGTAGCGCATCTGACCTAGCATCTGCAGCATAATACTTCCTTGTCAAGCAACTTACATGGATAATATGCTGCACCTTCTAGACGGCTATGTCATATCACTTGTAGACGTTACCTCTCACAACAAGGTCGTCTGACTGAAATAGCCATCCTCCATACATACATACATACATACATACCTCACAGGTAAGTACTTACAACGCCATCGCAATATAAACCATACACCTCCCCTTTCCCATTGCCGAGATGTGCGCAAAGAACGTTAATAACAATAACAACAATAACAACAAAGCCCATCGAGACTCTTCCCTTATAAGTTCTGAATGTTCTAGATCCATAACCCCGCCTCGATTTAGAGGCCCCCCCCGCAACCCTTGTAGTTTCGGGCTATTAATAATCGCATTCATACGCTGTAGCGTTTCTCTTGGCATTGATGATTTACATAGAGAAGATATTACATGCATGTGATACGAAGTCCATGCATTTTAAGGCTTCAAAAACGGAAAAAGAAAATCCTATACGTTGTAGAATTGCGATTCTAATAGGGCAAAGGTATATAGGGTGATATGATTGGAACGGTATACGCGGGTAGACCTTTTAGTTTCTATTGTACTAAACTTTTTATAAGGATAATAACAAGGCTACATGAAATATCCTACTATATTGATTTTTGAATTGTGTTTTCTAGTTTGCAGTATATTTTATTTTTATATATTGATGAAGTTATCATACCAGTAGTTTCTACTTTTCGATATATTTAAAATATTCGCGTTAAGTTAGGTATATACCTGTTATAAGAAGGAACTAAAAGGGAGCGTGCGAAAAGATGCGAATCAACATTTGACACGACTATCATACATAAAACAACGTAATGCATTCATGAATTTTTTTTCTATTGGTTTTAATGCGTTTCGCATCATTTAGATGCTATTTGTTGACTTATTTCATGAATACCTGACAGAAGGGGGTATCTACTGGTAACTATCTCATGGGACGTCGCCCGATTATGAGCTACCAACTTTGTTCCCAGCGCCTATGCAGTCTAGACTCGTCTATACGAATACCTTCGGCACCTCCTTATCCCTTCGTCGATCCTATGTCGGATGTTGTATGTAATGGTGGTGCCTGTCAAGCATCGGGCAGCTTCTTCTTCTTCTCCTTCTAAGTAAAAATGAACAATAACCATCTCTCACCAGACTCTTGCGGTCAGTATTTTTCTGCCTGCCATTCCACGTCATTCCCATATGCCGAAAACATATTAAAAACCTGTGAGATTGTCGAGGCCCCTGACGCCTTGCAAGAAAACACAAAAAACAAAAGAAATCTGTGTGGTTCCCTGCCTAAAACTCCTGCCCAATGCTTTTGTGGTTCTCACTCTTAGGGGTATAACTTAAGCCCCGGTAAGCCGTAAACGATTAAAAAGACGAAATCACAAGATGCCAGAGTCCTTCAGCGCATTATTAAGTATCGTTTCCTTCACGGCCGCGAATACCAACCGAATGTTGGATGTGTCTGTTGCTTGGGTTAAGCTAAATACGAAAGTCAGCAACTAGAAACAAAAGGGGGGGTTTTTTTTTTTGGATGCTTGGACATACTGAGGATATAAATTCAGGTGAGCTCTATTAACCTGGTTGAATCTCCATAGCAGGTATTTTGCAGCTTTATTCACATCGTTGCCCCCGGAGTAGTCTGGGAAATAATTACCCAACGGCGATCTAGGAAGCTTGACTTTAAATATGTCAACCTTGTTCAGGAACAGTATTATGCTCGTTCTCATGAACCATCTCGAGTTGACAACCGAGTCAAATAGCAACAAGCTTTCCATCATTCGATTCTTCATAACGTTAGCTGAAATACTCTGGCCTTTGGATGCTTTTCAATAAATACCTGGCTACTTTCTTCGAGCAGCACCTGATCGTATTCGCTCAGCGCCACGCAGAATATGATAGACGTCACGTTCTCGAAGCAGTGTATCCACTTCTTACGCTCACTCCTCTGCCCACCAACATCGAACATGCTAAAAGCGCAGTTAGAATCTGTACTATATCAGAATCGTTATTTCGGAATTCTTACTGAATACTGAGAGCTCCCATCTGGAATCGGGTTTCGTAGATACCGGTCGTCTTCGTCCGCGCGCGGAGGACATCCATTTCATTTGGTAGGTAATCCTGGGCGCAAATTCGCGATACTTCGTCGAAGAAACTGCAGCAGTGGTAAGTAAGACATGACCGAACTGTATTGGCCTCTTTACTTACTACTCGGCTGAGTCCATCAAGTAGAATTCCGTGGCGTGCTGCATAAGTCGCTCGATGCATGGATCGTGCCATAAGGCTTGTACTGCCGTCGCAACCTTGGGTTCGATATGTGCTGATGGGCCTGATTCGACCGTATATCCTAGCAAATAGTCGCAGTACTCTTTGGTTTCCTCACTGCTCGCCTCGATATCGAATTGGTCCATCGCGATAATAACGGCTTTGGCGCATTCGATCAGGTTTTTAAAGACCGTGGCGCGGTAGTTGAATAGTTCATCTTCCGAGTAGCCTTTCAAGTGTATTATCTTCATCTGCTTGACAATTGTTGATTTTCCGCTCTCGCCGGATCCTATTGGATGGACCTTGTTAGTACCATAGACCACGAAGAAGATACCAATGGCTAAGAAAAGACAAGCTTACCTAGTAGAAGAATTTTGCATTCTCGCCTTAACCTCTTCGAGTCCTCATCGAGTGCGCGGTCTATAGCCTGACTCCGTTTCTTTTGCTCCTCTTCCTCCTTATTGGAGCTCATGCAAGCCCCCATCATGTATACAGGTCGCGTTGGTCTGAGAGCCAACGCGATTGTGAGTATGTAAATTAACTGGTGGTAATTGTTGACTTATAAAGCGACAGTGCGCATATGTGATCCGCGATAGTTGTCACTCAATGGCACATTCTTTTTTTCCTCCAAGAATTCGTGAACGGGTAGGACTTTATTCGTTGCGATAGTCCCGCGTGGAAAATAAGTTGGAGTCGACAATAGTTTATGATTATATGACCGCGTTTCTTTGTTTGATGGGGTCGACAGGTGGGTTGGTAGAGGTTGCCCTGGTAGATACTGTCTTAGCGGTGAAGGAAGCGCTTTTGTTGTGGGTTCTCGACTGAAGTAGTTTCGGGGTTGCGTTGTTTGTCAAGACGGAGGGTGATGTAAATATAGCGAATGAAGCGAATGGTGCGGTAATCAATGGAATATGACGAAATTGATTGGCAAGAGCTGCAAGAGGATATCTAAAGAAGGGAGGTGGTCAGCGCTAACTATCCCCTTAGCTTTAATAACTTAAGAAGTTTAGGAATTAAAAATGGAGGTGCATTTGATAAGTTGAGAACGGTATTAGTCAACTTCGAAGCGAGGCGGTGCTGCAAGAAACGTGCCAGGCTAAGTTGTAGTGTAAAATGATAAACGGTAAAAGGTAAAAGGTAAAAATAAAAAAAGGGTATAATCCCGGCCGCGCCGGTGAAAGTAAGGGAATATAAAATATACAAAATAATTCATGTCCATATTATAATTGTTGATGAATAACATAACAAGACTTTGAAAGTATTCGAGAAGGAATTGAAAAGATTAACTAATTCCTTTTCTCCTTATATTCCTTGTATTCCTTTTCTGTTTGCTCATAGAATTACTTACTAGTTAGACTATCACTAGAACCTCTCTACCTTTACGTATCATAAAGCTAGAGTTCTAATACCGTCTTCGTCGCTTGACTCTCTGTGTAACGACGTAATGAGGAAATCCATAAACGGGTGGCGTACAATATAATAGTCTTAAAGACGGGACGGGACGGATGCGAGTCCAGGGGGTCGCGGAAAGGATTGCAGTATACAGAAATGCGATGGTGATCTTCAAGTCTGGCAAGATGGTTGAAGGTTGAGATGGTAATGTAAAGAAATAATTGAGGGAGGAAAAAAACTGGCTTAGCTTTGCAATGGCATAGCGGGATAATACAATGTAGTAATCGGGCAGGTAATTGAAATCGGTATGTAATGTATATACGTATACACACACACACACACACATATACATACGACTAATAAGCAGAGGGGGGGATTGACTGACGATGATATTGATAACGTATATGAAACTGGTTGTATTTACTTACAATTTTCAATTATTAGCACAGACAAACAAACAACACAGTTCCAATTGTCTTGTAAGTGAATAGCGGTAACAATGGTAATAATTCTTAATAGAATTCTTTTTTGATGAGCTTCTTAAGTTTGGGGGGGAAAGAATTGTTCTAGAATGGATTGGGGATGAGGAGAAAGACGGTGGGAAAATGCCGGCGGTCACGGTATAATCAATTGACGTTGATGGGATTTTACACAAGCAAGACTCACGATGTGACTCTCTTGCAGGGAAAAAGAAAAAAAAAAGAAACATAAAAATAAAGAAAACAAATATTAATCAATCATACTTCTCGAATTTCCACTTGTGCAGGGTCACGGCGGATAGGGCCTCTTCACCGTTCTTCAACTTGCATCTAGGGTTCCCCCTCTCAAATTCTCCAAAGTCTCCAGAGCCCCGAAGGGCTGAACTTTTTAATGGTTCATTGGAAGCTGATGGGTAGAGTTTCGTCAGGTGATTGGCGGTATGGATTTGGTATGAATTCGGTTGCATTTGGTACCATTGTTGTAGACTTGTAGACCCTTGTAACCCTTGCAACCCACGCTTGTTTTTAAACCTGTGCCTGTCGACTTAGAGCAAGGGGCTTCCAATCGATACCTATTATATTGTACTATACAAAGGTTGGGGCCAAAAGTTTCGCACATTTAAGCTTGGTAAGCCACGTGCGAATTAAAAAAAGACTGCACGGTTTTATTTAAGCTATAGTGGCTGATATCGCTATAAATATAGCGGTAAGCCACCTAGATTTAGTGGATAGGCCACTATTTAGTTTTTAGCTTAGCGTGTGGCTAATACAGTATTGATAATTCAAAGAACATATAAAATACGGTGCCAAGATTTGGACATGTGCGGAACTTTTGGCCCCAACCTTCGTACCTGTATTATACCCGTATGCTAAGCATACATATTATGTACAGTAGGTACCAATAGTACCAATAATACCAACAGTACCAATACTACTTTTTTTAATTGAAGTTGTGCATGACTTTTTCGCTCATGCCCGTCCAGTGCCCGTAGCGTCGGGTTATGCCGCATAACTGCGATAATACCTTACGTTGAGTTGATTGATGTACGCACATACGATCCGTACTTGAAAATATGTATATATTTTGGTACATGCTACCCCTACATACATGTAATGTCTCGACTTGAAATATTTTTGGAACGGAACAAGCATGTAAATGGCACTATTGAAGACGCACCTGCGCAAAGTCTCATATTATATATGAGGTACCTAATGTATGTATATAATCTAAGTTTAGGTCCGGGAAAGTATAGTACATTATGTAAGTTTAAGATACGTGTAAGTAACTTTAGGAGGTACATCTTGATTATGTACGAAAGCTCGTTGCCTTACGAAAAAAATAAAACAAAATGACCCACAAGAGCTTCACTTAATCCCCATTGGCCTAAACCAACTAAACCGACCAAGCCGACCAACGGGGATTATGCCATCCCTATCTCCACGAGCTGCCGACGTTAAACAAAGCAAACCACATGGGGCCCCATCCATTCTTTTTTAGGGCAATCAAAATCGTTTAGTCAAGTTCAATTGATACGAATTGTCGAGTCAAGCACACGGAATGAATCGGAAACAAGCCACCTTTGGTACTTTGGTATGCTTCTTCTTGACTAGCGATAGTTTTTCTATTCCATTGGCCCGGTTATCGGTCCATACCGTGTTATTTTATTACCTGCAGAAAAACCTGTGGGAAAGGCATTCAACACTATGTATGCTGCAATGCTACAATGTTGTAATGCACCCATAACCAATTGGCAGCCACCGCTTCCCGATCCAATTCGAGCCGGCTATTCGCTCCTTGTGCGTCCTAAAGACTGCATCTAACAACGTGCTCAGGGGTAAACTTGTGTAGCAATCTAATATGTTTTGGTTTGTAAAATGGAGGCTTAAGGGTAGTTGGATAAGCAGGCAAGCAGGCAAGCAGGTGGCTGGCTACCTTACCTTATCTACGAAACTATTACATACTTACCGTAACTAACTAACCTAGTATCTTCTAAACTTACATATTGATCTGACTTCTCGGTATGGTCCCATTCGTCATCTCATAGGCGGTATCCCTTGCTAATGAAGCTTTAAGCGTCATTCACCGCTCTATAATTAGAGCAACGGCCGGGTACGTAGATAGTGCTCATAAAACGGGAGGACCAGTCAGCGGCACCGACCGTTGAACAAGGATAATCAATATCGTTGTACTTTCGTTTTCTAACCATATTGAGTTGTAATTGCATACAGCATACCTACAGCATACAGCTTGCGTATTTCGCAATTCGGTTACTGTTACCCTACGAGCTTAGATACCTAATAACATAAAATGACCGGTCAGAACTCGAGATGTAAGAGATCGCTCATGGAGTACTTATATATTACGAATAACAAGTACATACATATATATTAACTAACGTTAGGTATACCTACATGCAGATAAAAAGTCTGAAATTTTGATAATACGTCAGCTAAAGTCTTGTCTTTTCAGGCTTCATCAGAGACTATTACGGAATACCCCTATCTTGCATCCCATTACTACATGACAACTGCTATTATACAGTCATTATCATAAAGCGATAATATTATGTGTCAGCAGCAACACGCTTAATGGTCGAGCCACAAACTATGGCGGGGCCTCCGTACACGACAACATTATTTTGCATTCTTTACTCTCTGCGGTGAAGTAGGTTTCAAAGACTTATGTTTCTATATCCAATCATGAGAAGCCTTTTGGCTATCGCTGACTTGGTGAGCGGAGACCTAGTTTATAATCGAGCTATTCAGCTGGTTAATTCCACCGGGTATGTCTCCAACTGGTCACCGCCAGCTTCTCACCTCTTGCAGATGACACTACATATTACTCTGTCTCTCGTCAGACACCTCCCTGCCCACGTGTTTGATGTGCCGCGGAAGAGCGCTTACCTACTTGACGTAAGTCAGACACGCATTCGGTGTCGGACCCTATGCCTCGGTCATCAAGCGCGTAGTTAAGATATCCTTCGGTGTATTCCGTGCTAGACAAGAGCATTTGAAAGACAAAAACCAATGGCGCCGAATAATTAATTTCTCAAGCCTTATTAGACTCCCTATCATAACGCTGATTAAGCACTCCTCGAAAATCTCACTGAGGATAGAATGTTCCATAACTATACTCTCTTAACAACACTTTATAACTAACGTTATCTTAGTCTAGCATGGTTTAGCCCCCATTCCCCCCTCTCTCTCCCTTGAGATCAATATACACAATATCCATGCGTAAGCCATGATTGTGTTCCATCATTCTCATAGTGCATCAGAGGATAGATACCAAGACCAACTGATTTAGAACCGCTGCCTTGAACACGAGGTCTTGTTTCATAAGAATTTGTAAAAAGGAGTTACACGATACTCCAGGTTTATGCTAGCACAGCCTTACTGCAGGACATTCGAAACTTCTACATTCCTTCCAGAACATGTTCATGCGACCCACGTTCTTCCGAGGACTCCTTTTCTTTATTCTTTCCTGATCCCGACTCCTATGGTGTTTTCGTACTGTACTTATCTCCTCTTACGTCAGTTTGATTCTCATCCCGAAAGGAAATCCTTCGGTTAACCAGGAACGATACTGACTACAGGCATCACACGTGGCATCTCCCGTCTGTGCTTTGATTTAGCAGGGTCTTCAACCATGGCGCCAACCACGTGTCGGCCGATTCAGCCTGGGTTTTTTGATTAATAATGTTCCTACGACAAGCATGCCATGTTTTCAAGAAGTAAAACTTTGATACTATCTATTCAACTACATATTTGGATACGAAATATATACGAGAATTAGGGCGGATTCCAAGAAGAATATAAATATGTATGCTAGTGACCCTAGCTGGAATGGCCCATCTGAATTGGTATAGAGCAAACTACCCAAAGAGTTGGTTCTACCACCATCTAATTCCATCCTTACCACAGGAACTCAACTTCACAGATACACTAGGTTTAAGTCCCGAAACCGCGTCTCTCTAGTTTCGCAGTTTATCGCCCGTCTTACGTTACATAGTTATTTGTCCTATTATGCAGGCGTGAGACGGGTCGATCGCAATCTCAATTCGGGACCATTGGGTGGATATATTAAGACAAGCATCGCGATTCAAGTATGGGTAAGGGGGCCTGGGCATCGTGAACCCCAACCTCCCCATACCTACATAGCACGCGAACCGCGTCGGAACGCCTCCAAGCCACGACAAGTAAGGGACGGCCAAGACGATGGTCTTTTTTCTCCCCCTTATCCTCACTCTCTCCACCTTATTCCCCAGTCGCCTTTCGCGAAACTTGGCTCGACGACTTTCCCTTGCATGACAGCCTCGCATTTTCTCGGAGCTGCGGCGGCGAACCCGAAGACGACGCCCCTGCGCGCGGCATTGCGGACCATTTCGCGCTGCTGCGCTTTGCGCTGCCCTTCGAGCCTCCGCTTCGTGTTTTCTTCCGTCTCCTCGCTCCGCTCCGCTCGTCCCTTTTCTCCGCCTACGCTGCCGTTGACTTGCGACAGGGTCTGCGGCGGTCGGATTCGAGTCCCGCTTCGTACTGCCATGCGTGCTAGGATGTCGCCGTCTTTCGATGAGTCGTCTTCGTTATCGTCGAGACCTACGGCGCTATCGCCATCCTCTACTGGTTCTCCTATAGTAGCGGCACCATCCCCTTCCGTCCCGTCGTTGGAGGTCGCTGGGAGGACTCTCGAGGCCCGGTTCTTCCTTCGTCCGAACGTCTTGTCCGGGTCCGCATGATCCCCGAACATAGCAGTCTCTACTTCATCACAGGAGACAATGACGCGCGGATCACCTTTAACCAAGCGCTTTTTCGCCTTCCCATCCTGGTGAACTTGACCAGCACCGTCGCCGTTTCCGCCGGAGAGCATGTGCACGAACGTAGCTTCGATTTCGCGATCCAGCTTCCGAGGCTTGGTGTTGCGACAGCGCTGGGAGCAGTAACTCGGCACGTTACTATTGGAATCATGCGCAGCTGCGGTGTTTGCGCGGCGTGAGCTTATAACTCGGCCGCACGACCGGCAATAGGGCGTTGACTCGCCACCCGGAAGAAGGTAATATGGCGCCGGTGTTGCTTGCGACTTTCCGGGCCGCGACCATGAGTCCATCCAGCTCATTGTGATAGGGGACGACCAGATGCTCTGTGAGTTGAGTAAGGAGAGGTAAGGCCGTAGACTATGTCTCTTGGATATATTTACAAGACAAAGCATGTATTATACAAGGTAGGTCTCGAGAAGCTCGTATGGCAATAAACTTTTTTAAAGACCTTCTATTAAACTATTAACTGTTAATTTGTTCTCTCCATAACGGGACAGCTTTGACAGATATTATTCGATTAACCTCCAATCCGAATCATCTAAGTGCTACAATTTACTCTCGAGTAATGACGTCACTTGCTAGACAGGAACGCACAGAAGTTCTAGATCAAAGGTAATAGGTACCGAAGTGGGTATTTTATCCTCATTGTAAAGTGATCGATAATCTTATACAATTGTAGTTAAAGAGATCTATTAGGCTAGTCTTTAGCTTGAGATGAATCTCTACTACAGAGGTACCTTAGCAGTTTATGTTAGGTACTCAAAATAGTAACTTGTTGAGTTCGTTTAATGCTCTATAAACATTTCAAGATCGATAATTATCTACTATATATCAGTCCTTACTAGACTTATACGGCCATCTATAAACAACTAGACTTAGACGCTCGTGGCTTATTATCTCTATACAGAATTCTCAAGACGGGTATATAACACTTGAAGCAGCAAGAAACATTAGTAAACAATAATGAGGGCATAAGCTATCTGAATAATCTGATACAAGACAGCATCGACGCTCACGGTATGCAGACCCAATCTAGTCTAAGCAAACCCGCAACCTCGTAGTGTTATCCCCATTGTTATTACAACAGTAAAACAAATAAAAAAATCTCAGTAAGGCGGTGTCTGGTATCCCGCTCGACTCGACTTATCCAAACTCGCATATCCAAACATACATCGGCAACTCGTATCATCGCTATACGCCTCCATAGGCCAGAGGAGAAAAAAAAAACACAACCTGCCTACCCATCCCAGATCCCCACACCGTGTAGGGACAACACTTCCCTCCTGCTGTCGAAAGGAAGTTTTTAAAAAACAAAGCCAAAAGGGAAAGGGGTATACGTCGAGTGAGTAAGTAACTAATATATCGATAATCGTACCGTGCCAACCATGTATCATATCATTAATATTTTCGCCGTCGATTAACGGTTTATATCTTTTTTTTCTTTTGCGCGTCCGGACAAATAGAACCGCAGCCGTGCGGTATCATCGTGATGATCTATGACCCACCTATTTATTCTCCTCGCCGTTAGCTTCCTATCTCAGCATTGGTGTGGTAAATATATATACGTACTAAAGAGAAACTAGTAGTTCTCCTACTAGGTAGTGTAAGAGGGCCCCCGTGTGGGGAGATCAAGTAGTGTAGGTAGGTAATTATGACTCGAGGAATGAGGTAAGTTATTTAGATAGATAAGCGCGCACTAGTAGACGCCTGCTCTGCTAGGGACAGGCGGAGTCTCGCTAGTAGGAGTGACTGAGCCGAGAGACCCAAATTTACGGTCCGTGTTTTTTCGAAGGGAAAGTTGGAATCGTGGCTTCTTCTCCCAGCTGTTGATGCTAGCAGTGTCTCCTGGCTGAACTGTCCTGATCGAACTTGGGTCGAGGTGGGACTGCGGGAAGATTCCCCAGCCTTTTGACGTTGTGCCGGACCAGCACCAGTGATCGGTGTAAGCCCCTGGTGAAAGTAATGTGTTAGTTTCTGGCTTCCAAAGCTCGGATAAGCTGCGAGGCTGCTCGAAGTAGCTCGGCCGTCACCATAGTATGAATAAGAGGTAGATAGGAACTTACAGCCAATGTTTTTAATGACATCCCCCTTATCGAATTTGAGCCACCTATCATCACCATTCTTTTGATTCCACTTCCATCGTGCCACGGCTTGTACGTTACTTGTACCCTGCATTTTGATCTCGGTCTTCGCCGGTGCATCGATCTGTACAGAGTCGGCTTCGAATGCTGCACGCACACCATCGTGCCAGCCGATACCCCATTTACCTTCATACTTGACCGGGAACTCGATACCGATTATCCTAGCTCCGATAGCGAAGTGCAGGACTGGATCTCTACCAGGTGGTGAGCGCATAACCCCGTTCTGTATTTTCCTCGTTTCCGTCGCAATGGCAGAAGGTAGTCTGGAGAGCTCTCGCGAGAGTCCGACCATGACGGAGAGCATGGGCGGGTGTGGTAAGTGAAGATCAAAATTATCCCTAAAGGCTGGCGGTATCTCTGGCGCTTCGACTACTGTTAGGCCAGGGATGACGGGGAGTGGACGAGGATGTCGGGCCAGATGAGCGAATAATTGGCTCTGGTTGAAGAAGACTGTAGCATCGCTCTCTTCGACAGTTCTGCCCTCCTGAATACAGAATAAGCATCCGTAAAGCTGTTCCTCTACATGTCGAATTTGCAGATGGCTCTTTTGGAGTATACGTAGTCGAAACCCGATGGAGTTGGACGTAAAACTTCCGGAGGCTGGGTAATAATGTGAGACAATATCCACTTATATATGTATATATAAATACAGGGAAGATATATCTTACAGTCGTTATTTAAGTCTTGCTCGACCGACTTAAAGTCGATCTCGAATAAACAGTGATTACACTTTGCTACAACGGCCATTGAAAAGCCCTATCTCCTCTGTCAATACTGCACGCAGGATCAATGTGACGTATACAAACCATATCATGACTTACACCAACGGGCCGTTTGATTTTCTTGAAGCCGAGCCGACCAGCCATGACCTCTTCTGCGCCCTTACAAAACCCTTTCAGCTTGTAGAAAGAGCTAAACGGACCTATCGAACAGTCCGCTTCTCGCGCGGGGATGGGCTGTTCGTCCGGCATCGGGTTTTCTGCGTCGACTGGGATTAGGCCTGAATCTACAGTACCTGGGACCTGGGCGCTGGGACGACGGGCCATGAGCGTGGATGAGGAGTGGTTAGTAATGGTTCCCATACTAGATGATATGCTACCGTTAGTCGCTGCGCGTTGATAAATAGGCGGGAGTCCGGTATACTCTGGCGGTTGCTGCCCCGGACTAAGAGGCTCGACCGATAAGACCGAATTTCGGTGTGCGGTAGAAGCGGCAGCAGTGGTAGGGCTCATGCAATCGACTATATCGAAAACTGAGCTGTTGATTGACTCAGTCGACGGGTGGCGTGTAGTACGACGAGGACCCCTCTCCTGAGCTCTTTCTTGAGCTCTTTCCTGGGCCCTGGCTAAAGATGTCTGCCTCGGAGGAAAACTAGGGATAGGTGGAAGGGCAGTCTTTGGGCCCTGGGTGTTAATAGCAATATTCTCGGGGATAGAAGGGGCACGACCAAGCACGGAAGATGTATCCGAAGGTGACCGACTAGACGACGGATCAAGGAGTTGTCCAGGCCAACTAGCAGAACCCTCGTTAGAAGGTGATCTACTAGCAGCAGACGTAAAGCCGCTGTGGGATCTGTATGTTGAACCCTGCGTAGAGTTAGTCCAACGATTCCTTTTCCTAGGAGACTGAGATCCGTCGCTAGTCGTCCCTTGGCTCTGTGAAGCCGCGCGCATTCGACCTTCTTCGACGTCCCTTTGAGATAGACTGAGAGAGTCGTCGGTTTTGCTACGAATGCGCAGGGGGCCGGCGTGGCTACCGAGAGGACTAACCGGTTGTGCTGGAGGGATAGTCGGGGAGTCATTGGGGACGGGGGGACGACGTTCCCATCGGTCTCCCTCGACCGAAAGATCCACGGGACTGACAGGCGGGGCCGTTCCGACCTGCCACGGATCGGCCGAGGGCGGTCTTGGCGGATGTTCCGAGGTGGCATCGGATACTTCGGAGCGGTGCGAGTTGCTTCTTCGGTCGAGGTCGCTTACCGATCGCGGGGGTAGATTCGCCTCCAGTCCTTCATCGGGGCCAGCCACAGCTCCCATCATACTTCTTAATTGCAGCTCTGTCTCTTCCATCAGTTTCTCTGTCGACATGGCCGCTGGAGGGTTGACGATAATACTTGTTGATGATGGTATTTGCCCATAATGTAAGTTATTTACGTGGTCAGGGGCTGCCGATGGTGCCCTACTACTCCTTGGGGATGGAGATTGTAATAATGTTGGTGCGGGAGCAACCAGTTTCATCCTCTTGAGGATATCCACGATCTTCGGTGCAGCTTTTCTCGAAGCTTTTTGTAATTCATCGAACTTGGTAGGATCGAAATCGTCGGGCTCGACATAGTCGTCGAAATCCCATAATAAATCCTCCAGTTCGGATCGAAACTGCGCGATTTCGTCTATTTGCGCACGAACAGATTCGTCAACTTATAATTCTCGATTGGCCTATTATAATTCTTAGACGAATAAATCTTACCATTCTCCTTGATCGCATCAACAAAGTTGACGCCATACTCTTCAAAGTTCTTAGTGCAAAGCGGCTCGATCCGCTTCAGTGCCCGTTCGCCTTCCCTAACTAGGTTTTGTGCTGCCTTGAGCATAAGCGGTGACGTTTCTTCGTCAGCATTCGGTACATTTTCAATCGCTGCGTTGCCCTTTTCTACGATCTCCCTAAAAGGCGCGATCGCGAGCCGTTCGACTTCGTCCGTCATGATGGGCTAATAGTATAGGTTAGACAATTGAGAGCGTATATCGTCTAACGCACGCGGTGATATATATTAATCGTCGTGGAGAGTCGAGGAGAGCTCCAAATTTAGTAACTAGGATGAAGGTATAGGAGTGGAGCAGCGAGCCGGCAGGCTGGATGTCTCGCGACTCGGCCTTCACAGTAGTTTTACATCAAGGTTGCGCAACAACGTTTGGCGGAGACGGTAACACATAATGCGAGATGAGAAAAGGAAAAAAGGAGACAGGAAAGAGAAAAAAAAATGAGATATCAGATGTAGAAGTTCACCCCGCGGCACAGGGAAGGCTGAACAATACAAGTTGGAATGGCGACCCCCGAATTCGCTAGAGTCTGCAGCGATAGCTTACATCCACAGTATCATCGATTGCCCGGGGCATAACGGAACTATCAAGGGTAGAGTGGCGTCTTTGGCCAATGCAGAACAGACCAGTACATGGTAGGTCATGGACCCCTGGCTTGCGTGGACCGTGGACCGTGGACCGTAGACCGTGGACGCTCAAGGGTATCAGGGTATCAGGGTATTCTAAACTCCATGTTACTATATAAGTTAGTACCATTACCTCTATGTAAGCTGGTTGGAAGTTAGGTAGGTTAGGTACTCTATGTACTCCATACCCGCGTAGGTATATCCAAGTCTAGCGTCACCGCCTGTCAAGCCTCTGATTGGACTCTAAGGGGTTATGGTGCGTCTAGTATCACCCCCAGCAGTTCGACACTGACAAGGGCGGTGCACACGTTCCACTGGCCGGCAGCTTAGCGCTCCCCTACCATTCCCTACTACTCTACTATTAGCATCCACAGTGAAGACTTCTCGGTTGCGAATCTAATGTCTTAGAGGACCCCTGTTACGATCACTATCACAATCTATATAGTATGTCTAGAACGAATGAGACGCACTAGCTTTGATAGGAGACGTCGAGACTCCAAATTATTAGATACTAACGTTTGAGAAACCGAAAGAAGGGTTTTAATTCCGCAAGCTTTTAAAGCGTAGGTAGGTAGGTAGTTAGGTATTCTACACACGGTATCGGATTCAGCCGTTGAGGCGGTGCTACCATACACTATGCGGAACTGCCACGTAGTAATACTAACCATGACATATGGCATCTATGTATTAGGAACATTAGAAAGTTATTATGTACATTATATTATGTATATACCAAGCAATCGAAATCGCTCAAGTCTAACGGAACGATCTTCAGATCACAGTGTCACCTACTTCAACAGTATGTACTCTCCGGCAGTCTCCCATTTACTAACCCAGCAGTTTGTTCGGGTTGGGGTAAAAGAGCGGGATGAACGGACTCTACCTCGGCCAAACTTGACCAATAAACAGACAATCCCAAGGATTGTCGATCACTTTTTAATTTTTATATATTTAAATTCTCCATAATAGAGTCCGGGGAGGTAAGCATCTAAACAATTGACAGGCAATTGATACCTTGTTGATTCCAGGAGACTGGAAATGAGTTGCTTGTACCTGAGGATAGATGCATAAAGACTGGTTGACGAGATACATAGGGCGGAAAGGGCTTCGCGATGGATCTGAGTCAACCCACCATCGGCAAATGCATCTCCACCGAATCCTATACCCTTCGAGCGAATCAAGGACCTCGGCCTATCGCGAAGGAAGGTTGCTTTGCTGACTGGCTACCTTACCGTACATACATAGTAGACATTTCTCTTCCCTGAGCTCATCCCTCTGACGGCGATCCAAGGCTACCCAAGCCTGCCCACGTTACGCTGTAGAGATATGAGACATGCATCACGCATTGATAAAGGATCGAACCTAGATTACCTATTCGCATCATATACGAATACAGTATACAGTATACCATTAATAGCACTTTGTTTTAGTTCTACGTCATGGTATAGTTACAGGTACTACCTAAACTACGTCTTAAGAAGTTGAAATAACTAGTGGTTCTCGTTGGGAGATTATATTCTCAACACTAATGATACCTTTTTGATCCTCATCGACAGGGACACGTATAAAAAAGATAAGAAAGAAGACGAAAGAGGTCATAGTAGACGAGAGAATTAAGTAGTTCCAAACCCAATTCTCAATCCCCATTTTCATCCCACCTAGTCAATGACCTAGTCAGTGGGGGGGACTTTCACCCCGGACATGCAGCTGATAAATAGTGCGTATGTACGTGCGAGCTAGCCTACATTACTTCGTCTTGGCATCAGGGCTGATGTATGTACAGAAGACTTCCACACAGCTGGGATAAGGCAGAGTATATGTATGCGGCCCGGAAGCCTGGAGAAAATTATTCGGTATCAGGGGAGGCATTCGACAAGGCAGATTCTACAAAAAACTTTACCCTTTATCCAGTTCGCGATCAATCAATTATAAAATAGCCTTGTAGGATTTCAAGGCGCCGGACAATTTAACCTTAGTGTTATGTTTGCCTACCTGCTGAGCGATGCGGCTGAGGTATTGTTACCATTACCGCTGTCCGCATTCTCGGTATCGAAGAGCATGAGCCGGAAAGATTCAGCATGGTCCCAGCAAACGCAGATATTATTTTCTTTTACTGCTTAAAAATTTAGCAAGCAAGCTTCTCGAAGACGTCAAACATTGACGAGTTTGCCGGTCCTCACGGTAATATTCACTTGGCATCAGGCACTGTATCACCAATCCTCCACTTGTTCTCGATACTTTCCGAGGACTCATCGGTGCGCTTCTGTTAGGTATTTTACCCGACATTGGACGCAACCTACCTTATAATCATATCTCACGTGCGCCTATTGAGGCTCAACGCGAATTGGTCCCCTGAGTAACATGAGCTAGGTTTATGCGATGGTGTCATTGGGGGTAGGATAGAGTAGATCGACAACAACCTTCCAAAATTCGGTTCCCAAGACCCTGAATGTCTTGGAACATCTCGTACCTAACCGAATGATAGGTACCAATGAGCCAAAACAGACTACGGAGAGTTTGTTCACCTTGTAGCGTTGTACTCGTACTGGTAGACTAGAATCCTTCAATGGAGCCATCCGGCTAACATATGTAGTCGGTTCCCCACTGATTATTCCCACCTAAGACTACCTTACCTGCTTGCTTGGGTCCCTCCGTTCAGGGGTTAGACATGTCTTATCCTATCGTCTTCACCTTGACGAGTTCACATGCTAACATGGTCAAGACCCTCTTACATAGTAGTATTATGTATGCTCTCTTTGATGGCCAGGTCTCCCCTCTCATCGATACCACCGTAGTATTCACGAGTCCTTAGCTTCTATCAAGCAGCTGCCCCTTGCATTTGTTTTCGCAGATATGGTGGAGATTATCGAGTCCATTCGGATGAATTCAACGTAACATGCATTACATCGCTTCTATGATAATCTATGTAGTGTATGTATGTGTGCTGCCTTTTTAAGTTGTCACCAACAATGTATAAGTTGATCTCGTGTTGCTTCGGAGGACGCCGGGAGCTTGATCACTACTTGAGAAGGACATGTTTCCAGCACAGGTATGAAACTTGAGCTAATGCGATGGTCCTACATTATATACCTGGTAGGTAATGACGGTGGCTTATACTACACTGATTGTTGACTACGCTACGATTAGGTGAAAGAGACGCGATTGGGATTATTGTGTATTACAGGGACCCTCCTAGGTTACAACAAATCAAATTAGATTAAATGGATAACATAGTAAATGTAAACGCCGTCACCACCAATCAGGAACTCTGGATAGTTAGTGGTAGATGACTACAATATTTACTAGTATTTAATACGTCGTGAGAGTGACATATGTTTACTATGTCCCACTTGATGAGCAGGAGAGCAAACAAAGATGTAGTAAAAGTGTTAACGACATCATTTAGGAAGCTCATATGAGGACTTTAGATATCACGATAGAAGACTCATATGATACGATGTGTAATTCAACCTTCACCTGAACTCTATGAGTACCTAAGGTACCTAAGGTAATGCCTTGTCTGTCTTACACAGCAGTAATGACTGCCAATGGCTGCGAATGAATTCAGTAACACAAAACTCTCTCATAGGTCACAAACAAACTTTACGCATCAGTCACTGCTATTTATCTGTCATATTTATCATATGTTCAAGAAAGGGGATAATAATTTTGAGCTACAATCCTTCATCGGCATATCCTAATTACCTACCTCATACGTCCTTATATAATATATAATATATTGCTTATTTCTCAACACCGCCGCACCTATATCAAAACGTCAGCTACCTATAATATACCACCCAAAAAAAAATCCCCCCAAAAAAACTCAACAAGTAACATCATAACGACGCAATCGGAAAATGTCCGAGACAATCCGTCTCCCCCACAAACCCGACGCCCCGCTGTCTTACCAATTCGTCCCGGGACAGGGCCCCTTGTCAACCACGCATCTCATCATCTACCTCAACGGACTTATCGCCCCCCAGTCTGGCTGGCGTGCAACTATAGAGGATCTCCAACGACGATGGAATGAAGGCAGTCGCAGTACTAATCATCCACCGCTACTTACTTATGACCGCTACGGCCAGGGTGAATCTGCGCGCGATCCTGCCGATGACCAGCACGGCGGGAGCCATGACATCCGCGAGGTCGTCGCGGACCTGCACGTCTTGGCGCAAGAGATATGGCGCACCAAGATAAAGGATGCCTCGAACGGAGATGGAGCAGCGCAAGTGCCGAAGTTAATCTTCGTCGCCAACAGCATCGGCTGCGTCATCGGACGTTTCTACGCCGAGACATATCCGGGGTCTACGGCAGCACTACTATTCCTCGACAGCAACATCGCCAACAGCGACCTAGTATCGCTCTTCCCAGACCCAGACGCACCAAGCTTCGACCCGGCTATACTCCCCGCGGACTCGACAGTCGCAGACCTGCGCCGCACGCGCGCGGGTTACGCCGCGCACTTCCAGCCGTCGGCGCCGAACCCGGAGCATCTGGACCGGCGAAACATCATGTCGCTACTGCCGCTTTCTGACGCGCCGCTGCTGCGGGGACCGGATGAAGAATTGGGGCCGTGGATCACGGTTGTAGGGCACGACTGGGAGACCTTTGCCGAGGAGGGCTTGCGGGGGTCCATGAACGTGCCCAAGGGTCTGACGAACGCGTACATGAACCCGCCCTGGGCTGACTACAACGAGGGGCTCACGCATCTGACGAATGCGGAGAGGGTCTGGGGTCCAGTGATAGCGACGGGTTGTGGCCATTTCATACAGAAGGATGATCCGGCGCTGGTTGCAGAACTTACGGATGACTTGCTACGGGAGATCGAGGCTAATGGGGCGATATAGGGGTAGGATGGGGTGGAATTCGAGGTTTGTCAACCTGCCTACCTAGGTTACTTACTACCTTTTGCTCTTGCGTACGTATGTGTGTACATGATAGCTTCACGAGCACTGCGATGAGTTGATGACTTGCCATTTCAGCCATTATACCTGATAGTAGCAGATAGACTATAGATACGAAGCAACGTCCATTTCAAGAGTTATCTCCCTACCAAAACCCTTCTTCCTCATGCGACGTACATTAAGTTCCCGTCTCCCGCACGGAAACTCTTTGCGAGCAACGTTTCTACATAGTTGCATAGCTAGTCGAATGGAAAATAGTTACCTCTAGGCCGTATATCTAGGTATCTATCTGCATATCTACCACCGAGTCCCTACAAAGCAAAAGCGCATGATAGATACCATAGCGGCAAAACATGGGTTCGTGGAATGATTTGACATTGCGGAATGATTGGTGGGGGTGGAACGCTCCACCTATTTTGGACCTCTAATTGGTTGAATCTGTGGAATTTTGGGTCCAATATCTGTAATTTTTCATTTTTGTATGGAATCGTTCCGCAAATGTCGGTAGCGTTCCGCATTTTATAATGATTCCACATGGCTTTTTTTTTTTTTTACTTTTTTTTTACTAAGTCAAAATTTTACCTTTTTCGAAGTAAAGGTTATAAGGGCTAAAATCGGATGAAACTTTCGAAATAATTCGATGAGATTGGCCACCTCGTCCCATTAGCTCAAACGTTAAAACTTTAAACCTTATTGTGGGGTTTATGGTTACACTAACGCAAGAGCTGTGGGTTCGAGAACCAGTCTTTCCCTTTTTTTGACATTTTTGACTTTTAGACCCACTTTTTCACGTGACTTTCACGTGAATCTGCGGAATCGTTACATTTTATAAGACCGTTCCACAAATTGGAATCATTCCACGATATTGGAATTATTTCACGATGTTGGAACGATTGGGTCTGAATCCAATGCTTATTATACATGGCATAATTATGTCAAGTTGGGTGCGTTCCACGAACCCATATAGCCCCGCTATGGTAGATAGATACCTAAGATAGATAGAAACAGCCGTTTTCGGCATCCTGTCCACAGGTCAAGTTACAACGTTGCGCGTCACGTAGGAGGTAGTATGTACCTATTGTAACGCGAAGGCGGCTCCCCATTGGGCTGAGCTTTGACCCTATTCTTAGAACGGCACCATACCACAAGCGTAGTAAATTAGGTACTGTCGTTATTTCCGAATGCACCGTGATGTGATTGCTACCTACGTACTGCTCGGAAATGACATCGCTCGATGCTGGATTCGTGACTATGAGCGGGTCGAGCGGACGTTCGCGAAAGATGCGATTCCGACCTGATGAATCGAAATGCCTGCGGCTGTTACATTGACTCAGTCGACTTCCCCTGTGTTTTAGCAACCCATCGGTACCCCATGGGAGAAGTTGGAGAGGGCTGTGAGGAGATGGGGATATGGCTGATCCATCTACGGTCTAGATGGCGACTCATCCTCACAGCTAGTATGCTAGTTGAAGCTAGATAGGCACGTCATTTTGGATATGTGTAGCCGGTCGTACTAAAGTCGACACTATACTCTTACTAGGGGAAAATAGGGGTCATTCGCTTCAAGTTTCTCTTTCTGTGCAAAGACCCATGATTGTCGAGGGGGGTTGTAGAGATGGATATATTGCTACCTACTGAATATAACTCTCGATACAACTAGCAATCTAAATACCAACACCTACCCTCCCGTTTTCAAACCGAAGTAGTTTCGTTATTACCATATTATTAGCACGGACGAGACCGCATCGGGCCGCTGAACGATGTGCAAGGTATAACAATATCAGCTCGCTAGTCTACCCCAAGGACACTATGCTCAAGTAGGTAGAGGCTAGTAGTGATCGGCCCCTATAGCCTTCCTAATCATGGTAAATCTTTCCTATACAGGCTCCTTTCTGGGGTAGAACCCCTTCTTCACAAAACGTTAATTAGTATGTAAGCGTATACTAACTACAAATAGTGTAGTAGACTGCATGAGCTAGGAAGTTGAGTGATGGGGGTTTAAGAGCTATGAGACTTTAGGGATAGCTATAAGTCATGCCGGCGGCTTGATAACTTTCCGGGAACTACCAATGTAAGGTTGTCCATGAGATGAATCGGCAAGGAACTTCCTACAACGGTAACAAGGCCGTTACTGCTGAGCGTCACATGGCAAACGTCGTTATTATATACACGTATATCTTTTACCTAAGTGACCCTGCCGAACTCGCCGCCGAATGACGCCGTGGAGACCCCGAACAAGTCCGGCTAGCTGTGCCAACTAGCCATTCGCGGAGGTGGTAGGCCGAGAAGCGTATACCATGTGAACTCCGCCACTGTCATCCACTTAGATCTTGCAGGTACTCCTAAGGGCTTACCTACTAGATAGGATGTTGATGCTACTCTGCAACTTTTGCAAGCAGACGAAAGCAGATGATACTAGGCCAAACTCCGGGTACATAACTAATTCTTGAGAATAGGAGGCGAGGAGTGATCTTTTTGGTATTGGATAGTGGTGCAAACCCATAAAGACGATTATGGCTGCTGTTCTGGGGGTTCGGGGGATCTGCTATCACTTTAGCCCGCCGAGACTCTTTCTTCACCTAAGCCCTTCTCCTAGACGAAGATTTCTCTCTAGGAAATGATTGAGAATTCTACATTTGAACAGCATTTCATACTACCGTGTATCGTGGAATTTCCGATTCTATATACCTAACGAAATACGAAATGTTAGGCTCACGACGATATAATTACAACTCGCAGCTGCCTACTTGTTTTAGTAGAAAGCGTTAAAGCTGAAGGTATGTTCGACAAGAGGGATGTCCCTAATGGTAGAACCATTTCTAATAGCCTTAGGTTGCTTCTGTACTCATATTTTCTTAGTTGCTCGCCTCAGAAACGTCTGACCGCTATCTGGCTATGACTCTGGGGATGATCTGTTGAGTTTACTAGCACATAGGAGTAAACTAATAGATGGCACCCCATCCACGAGTATTAGTTACCAGAGGATTCAAATTCCATGTTGCTTGTTACGGAAACCTTACACCACAGAGCTATTAAGTTTAGTCTTTCGATTTGCTTTTTATCAAGCTACCTCTCGATTTCTATAGCTGATGTATTCCCAAATTGCGGAGCCACTCCTAGCTTTCGGCTCCATCTCGAGATGCAGGTGTCATCGACCTGACACCAAGCCAAGCCTAGCCTTGTTGGTACCTGGTGGCGCAACGCTTGATGGATGTCATTGGAACGGAGCGCAATCCAATTCTGCACGTCAGAAGCCACGAATTCGACAGCCTTTCGGCTTTGCGATGACATGCATGCGCTGATCGACACCACTATGCGTAAAGTGATAGATAATATATAATATCGACGAGTCGTTTCCGACCCTAGGATTTTCGCATACTGTTTATCCTAGTAACATTCGTATCCAAGCTCATAGCTGAGAGGCCTTTTAGATCAATGCGTTTATCACCCTATAGCGGTAAAGGATGGCTGGATTCATCTGACTTGCAATATATATCTGATATATGATATAGGTAACCATGCGTATTGCGGTAGCCGGTGAAGCCACCCTCTTTAAATCGACTTTAAAGGGCAACTTAGCCCACGTAGTTGCACACTACGTGTATTTTAGCCTGGGACGACTTTGATTCTCAGGTTCTAACCACGTGGTATTAATGAGACACTGACTTAAAGTAATCGTTTCTTTAGTAGATAAACTAGCCTTAACCGTCTCAGCCGCTATCTCACAAGTTACCTAGTAAAGTTAGAAATATCATCTGAATTTTCCTTTGCCGACTGCTAAACAGCCTATCCTATGTATACCTGTAAACATTTTGAACGGAGTAGACTATTATCCTGTAGTCAGATGTTGTTGATGATACCATCGAAGCGTTATTAGGTTTATAAGGCCGTCTTGGTAATACAAATATTTACATGTAAGTAGAAGAATTGAAGGAAAAGGAAGGATTGTACCACTTAACGTTATTCTAGAATATAAAGTTTATTGATTATATTGAATCAATCTATCTTTGAAACTGACAATTGCCCTTTAAAGTTTAACGCATTGGCCACCCCACAGATCTCCCGTCCCATCTTCTCCACTTTACGGCTTTCCAAATGCAGGGTCCGATGCTCGGTTGGTGGCTCGATTTAGTTCCACTGTCGTCATTGGTGGCTTGACCACGTTAGCTGACCTGGAAACGAAGAAATGACATGGGATCAATCCCTAAAAAAAATTATGACCATGTTAATAATGTGGGCGGTCTACAGAAGTGGTCTGCTGCCTCTGCCTCCTCCTCTTCTCTTTCTACTCTACTCCCACACCAATGCGTCAAAACGAGGCGATCCAATTTCAATCCTTCTTCTGGCTTTGTCATTTTTATCCTATTCCCTTCTCCTCGCGCGCATCAGCAACCTTAGTAATGATACTTCTGAGTTCAACTATAGTCTCGTTACTTTCTTCCATTCTTTAATCACAATCTTTCCAAATGCCGCCGGCTAAGTCAAAAGCGAACCACGACGACTCAAAGTCGGAGACGGCGAGCGTCAAAGATCGGAACGGCCACGGCCACGGATCTAACCATAACCAATCGAATGGAAAACTTCGACGTGTTGGTAGTTCCACGGGCTCACAATTGCGAGACGTAACAGCCGTGAACGGCGGCTCCTCGACTGCACCAACTTCTGCGTCACAACCAAACCACACTCCAGGGGTAAGTACCAACTAGACTATTTTACGCTACTCTTCCAAGTAAACTTACAATTGTTTCTCAATATAGTTGCAATGGCCATCCTTTGAACGAGATGTCCTCCACGACTACCGTCGCAAATACCTTCTCCACACTCCGACCGCTTTTGCCAACCCATACCATCACTGGGTACTCTCGCGACCAGGAATCGGCTTGCGATCGCCCACCATGGCACGAAAATTAGAATACCGACGCCAGAGCAAGGAAAACCTTACGAAGGTCGTTAGAAAACACTTCAATGCCCTCGGCGTACAGGAAACCGACGTTATTGTTGACTTTGTTCACAAGGTCAGGAATCCAGGCGTTGGGAAGATTAAGAGGAACAAAGATTTACCACACTCTTCCCCGTTACCATGATACATACCTATATACCCCATGAGAGCGAGAATTATTTGCCCTTCTGGATTTGGGCGTTACTTTTATTGTTGTAGATACAGCATCATCATCATCGTATCGCTAAGCTCGTAGTGAGTCTTTGCATATGTTTGGGTTTATCGCATTTTTTTTTTTTTGCATTATCCTGGAGTTTTAGCGCTTGGGTGGGACTCTATCACGGAGGAACAAGGGCCGACGACTATGACGAATGGGTAGCATAAAGGGACACTCCGAGGCTCTAGGATAGGGCCTCATAGGTATATAAAGGAGGGTTTGCTATTCAATTAGGTCAAATACCAATTCGGGATTGTATTAATATTGTTGTTATTAAATAGTTAATAGAAGTTGTTATCTACTTCTCGTACGAAATGTTTCTTATCGTAGAAGATGTTTACCTCTATTATTGTTTCCACTTTGTGGGTACTTCTTTGGTTCCTGGCTGCCACTTTTTTGAGTTTCGCGGTTCTGCAATAGCGTTGGACCGAACCCCTCACGCGGGACCTGGACGCGCTCTCATTTCCTATTACTAATTAAATTGAGATTGGCCGCGCTTCTTTTAAGTGGCACCGCATCTGGCGTAACTCCGAGTTCAATTCGAAAACTTACATGTAGGTAGGTGGGTAAAATGTATGCATGTTTATGTACCTGTAAATTTGAACATGTAAGGGACCGAGAAGACTTTGAACATTTACTTGCGTCGCCGTGAATAAAGCTAAATTAACAAGGCTTAACAGTAATATATTCAAATACCTATCAATAATAGTATGGCTGTTGGAACTAGCCCGAGGCCGAGGTTATCTAGATAATTTGCCCGTAGACAATTGGGCATATCGATAAGCATAGAACGCTTCATTCTGCAAGTCTTCATGAATGTAAGTTGTTTTATTGTCCTGTGTTTATTATAAGATTAAGATTTAGAAATATCAATAGTGGCTTTTTAGGCTTTTTATTTAACGACTTCCCTATAGCTATTTTAATCTCAAATAGAACAAGACTTATACGTGTAATTCAGCTGCTAGGTGTTTATTTCTCGCTTGACGGCTCCCGACCGGACAGATGCCGGGATACGTCCGTACTGTGGCTTGTCCCATGTGGCTTTCCACATGTCAAGCTTTTTTGGAAATATGGGGCCATTGGAGGATCGAGAATCTTCCCGTTTACTCGGCGCCGTATCTTAGCGCAAAAAAAAAAGTTCGAGCGTCATTGTAAACGGCTCCGAAGTTGCATGTTAATCATCTTCACTTTTTTTCCCCCTTCTACCTCTACGACATGTTCAAGCGTGACTGATTAGCTCTCTAAATGCATACGATATCATGAGGAGTTTTGAAATCCGGTAGAATTTGACGTGCGACTAGGAGTATTTAATATGAATTCGACTCTATTCTCAAAGGCAGCGCTGCCCTCGCGCATACTCTCCCCTGCTCATATATATCGAAGGCAGAGATTACGAAGTAACTTGCGAAAGCGCGCGCAAGTTAGCACGATATGTTCTCTGTCAAAAAGACCAAATATTATAACTAAGCAGCCTGGATGCGAAGCCGCATTATCTAGACGGGTATGTTGATTTAGTTATTCAAACTTGAGTTATACTTCTACTAACAAAGTCGATATAGTCCTTCCATGCTAGCCCTACTTCGCTCGCTATTAAAGACCCATATCAAACTCTCGGTGTTGGGAAATCTGCTTCGCCGGCGGAAATAAAAAAAGCTTACTATGGATTAGCCAAGAAGTTCCACCCAGATACAAATAAGGACCCGTCGGCGAAAGACAAATTTGGCGAGATCCAGTCCGCGTACGAAATCCTATCCGATACGAAGAAGAGGGAACAATACGATCAATTTGGCGCCGCCGGCTTTGATCCTAATGGTGGGCCCCAGCCGGGAGGTGATCCTTTCGGGGGTGCGGGTAATCCTTTCACGGGTTTCGGAGGGCAAGGAGGTTTCGGTGCAGGCTTCGGTTTCGATGATATCTTTTCTGCATTTACTGGTGGACGAGGGGGGCCGTTTGGTGCGGGAGGCCGTTCTGGTGGAAGGAATCCGTTCACCCAAGAAATACTCGTTGGAGAAAATATCGATATACAAACGAGCATATCATTCATGGAAGCGGCTAGAGGAACCAGCAAGACGGTTACGATACACCCCCTCGTGCAATGCCATAGTTGCAGTGGGAGCGGTCTCAAGCCGGGTACCAAGCGGTCGGACTGCAAGTCTTGTGGCGGTACAGGTACACAAGTGCACCTCCTATCTGGGTTCCAAGTAGCGACTACTTGTGGGGCTTGCGGGGGCAGTGGTCAGTCAACTCCTAAAGGATCAGAATGTCGAACGTGTTCTGGGGCCGGAGCCGTTAGGGAAAGCAAGACTATTACCGTAGACATCCCGGCGGGTATTGAAGATGGGATGAGGCTACGATTAGACGGCGAAGGAGACGCACCTATCATTAGCGGCACGGCAGGATCCAATGCTAGAACGGCTCGAGGAGATCTTTACGTTTTCGTCCGGGTAGCATCGGATCCCAAGTTCAAGCGATCAGGCTCTGATATCCTCTATACTGCAACTATACCCTTGACCACGGCGATGTTGGGTGGTGAGGTGACTATTCCGACACTGGATGGACAAGTCAATGTAAAGGTTGGGACAGGTACAAACACCGGTGACAAGATAACCCTGCCTGGATTGGGCATGAAGAAGCTAGGTGCTCGGCGTAGCAACGCGGCAGGAGACTTGAAAGTTGAATACCGCGTGGCGATGCCGAAGTATCTATCAGCCAACCAGAGGACAATCGTGGAGATGTTAGCAGATGAGATGGGTGACAAGACAGCTAAACGGATAATGAATGTTAGGATGCCGGGGTAAGCAATCAGTCAATGTCCATTGATACATCAGCATATCTAACTCAAATGATTTACAGGTCTGGGACCCCAGGTGAAGCAACGAGAAATGACGACCCCGAGTCACATCAAAACGAAGGATTTCTAAAATCTATATGGCATAACTTGACAAACCACCCAGCCCATCAAAAGCCAGAGGACCAAGACCAAGGGCATGATCAGAACAAACCTAAGGAAGACCCGAAGAAAAAATCTGGTTCGGATTCGAGTTAGGTTTATACTATACCTCTTGGGTGTCGTCTCTGGACGAGTGGGCGATATATATCCCCTTACAGCATGTACAATACTTACACCTCGGGACATAGGTGATTAAATAAAGCACCAAAAGTTTAGAAATAGAGATTGGAACTGCATGGATGGTGTTGAGGCTGGATCGGTGATATTCGGACATCGCCCGCGGGAGCGACTCACTGGCGAGAGTAGTCTTGCGCGCCTCGGTACCCAAAACTGGACCCAAAACTGGACCTAAAACGGGATATGTTTACCTTGTATATTACCTACGCATAGGGGCTTTAAGGAACGTCATATAGTACGAGGTCACTCTCCTCAATTCGAGATATACGATGAACTTGATTTATGATGGATGACTAAAGTATATCGTTCGACTATGTCAAGTTCTACAAAGTTTCTCCACAAGGACATTCTTTATGTATGTAATGGACGATATATGTAAGTAAGGTATGGGGCATTGATAATGTACGGAATTGATCTTACAGGCGGTCGCAGGAGTGGTCTCGGTAGGGCGAGCCGCGAAGAGAGAGCAGCCTTATTGAGTTTAAGGTCGCAGCGGCGGCCCGCTAAGCGCCTACATCCCTTGCTTCTTTCTCCGAGTCTCGAAGCTAACCGCCTGAAGGACCAATCATGATACATTTAGAGCGGAAGAGGATTATAGGTTGTAGCCAATGACGTACAATAGAGGGGTCTTTGCCGTGTTGACGGCCTCGTCACCTGCATAAGTGTGCTCACTATATGTATACTACTGTCTGGTAAACCGAAGTTAATGCTATTTTATATGATATTATGGATTGTATCTGGGAAAGAAAAGAAAGGGAATTTAAGGAGATATGAATTGAGAGATATATTATTAGGTTGATGGCTTTGTATTGTAAGAGGGGTAGAATACATTTGGAAAATGGCAGTAATTCAATGTAACCTTAACATCCTTAATGTGAAGGTGGCACAACATGACTATGAGATACATAAGGTATATACCTAGGATTATAAGCTTATTATAAGCCATTAAGAGGCGTCTCGTATGTTAAGCGCCATGTTACACATCACGTAAGTTAGGATAGATGTACGGAATATATGACCTAGATTACCCAACGTTAAGTGAGTTAGGTAAATTAGAACATCGGTGAGGTTCGGTACCTAGCAGTTTTGCAGATACGCAGATTTTACTACAGGGCAGTCGCTGCTGACGATTAACAGTGTCCTACCGTGCATCTTAGGTACCTACCTATTCTCCGCACCAAAACCCCACTGTACCTAGGAGGTACCTACGTAAGTACCTAACCTATTGTGGTACCTTCCATTGGGATAACTATCCCAACTGCCTGCCCCAGCATCTGCCACCCAAACCTTATGTACCTTTCTAGCCGGACCCCACTGTAGATAGATTTAAGCCTTAAAGATTGAACCTACGGCGGCTACTTTTCATAGACGCCTGCCCAGAACACTTCAAAACGTCCTTGTCGTTACCAGCCCGAACCTCCGTTCGCATGGCCATTTTCATGTGTCTCACTGCATTCATCAACGCGCCGCGTGTCACCTTATTTGTGCGTCATCTTAGTTGACTAACTTTCACTTGGTCCTACTAGACTTGACCGTCTCGTCGCAACATAATTAATTACTACCTATACACTATACACTTTACACTCTCTCCCACCTTGTCCGATTCAGTCTTCTACAACTTTGCTTTTCGGACGACAGCATGTTGGAAGATACACCGACCCCTGGTACAAACTTGCCTTCAAAGAACTAACTTGAAGCGAGTGTCGTGTGTTAGAAACGGTGACAAAATTCACGACGCACAATTCATAACCTGATCTAGTGTCCATCATCGATCGATACAATATCAAATTACACCAACCCCACATCTCTTTGTATTCGTACATACGTACATACGACGACAGACTCTCCTACGAAAGCCACATTTCCTTATGATAGACGGGCTTAGGAAATATTAGAGAGAGAATTTGCCGCGCAGAAGTCTTCTACCGTAATTAGCATCTTCCGCCATGACGCAAACTCCCATGATCTCGGTGCCTCTAAAGGCTACCAACGAAATCGATTGGATCACCCCGCTTAAGACCTACATTAGAGATACTTATGGAGATGACCCCGAAAGATATGCGGAAGAATGCGCGACGCTCAACCGCCTCCGCCAGGACATGAGAGGTGCCGGCAAGGATAGCACCTCCGGGAGAGATTTGTTATATCGATACTACGGCCAGCTCGAGCTGTTAGATCTCCGCTTTCCTGTCGACGAGCAGCATATTAAGATCTCTTTCACCTGGTATGGATATTCCTAAAAATGTTGAGTGTTAGTATTGTATCAATTCTGACTTGAGTATGATAGGTTCGATGCATTTACCCACAAGTCGACATCTCAGTACTCCCTCGCCTTTGAGAAAGCCTCGATAATATTCAACATATCCGCTGTTCTGTCTTGTCATGCCGCTAACCAAACCCGTTCCGAAGAGGCTGGTCTGAAAACTGCCTATCATTCCTTCCAAGCCTCTGCTGGCATGTTTACTTACATAAACGAAAACTTCTTACATGCACCTTCATCTGATCTGAGCAGAGATACTGTTAAGACTTTAATTCAGATCATGCTCGCGCAAGCTCAGGAGATATTTCTAGAGAAACAGGTTGCAGACCAAAAGAAGGTAGGTCTACTGGCAAAGTTATCTAGCCAAGCAGCCTACCTATACCAGCAAGCCCTGGAAGGAGTCCAGGAAAATGTCAATAAGGCCATCTTCGAGAAAGTTTGGCTCCTTTTTACTCAGGTAGGTCATTCCGCGGCTCAAAATGAGGATCATCGGCTAACTCGTATCCAGATCAAAGCTAGCTTGATGAGCTCAAATTCTCAATACTATCAAGCGCTTGCTGATGAAGATGCCAATTCTTATGGTGTCGCCGTCGCGAGGCTTACGGCCGCCGAAATTCAGGCGAAGGAAGCTAGTAGAATGGCAAATAATTTCCCTAACACCATGCCACCTAGTTCGAACTTGAGTGCGGACACGGGTATTTTATTAACGGAAATCACAAAACGGAACCTCACTACTATTCAGGAGAAATTGAAGGAATTGATAAAGGACAACGACTACCTCTACCACCAGACGGTGCCGGCGGAGGCCAGTTTGGTCCCGGTCCCGAAACTCCCTGCAGCGAAGCCAATACCTGTAAACGAACTATATTCTGGTCAGGATATTCAGCGCATAACTGGTCCAGACTTGTTCGCGAAGATCGTTCCGTTCACAGTCACCGAATCAGCAAGCTTATATGACGAAGAAAAGGCGAAATTAGTCCGCGCAGAGGCCGAAAGAGTTGACCTAGCTAACAGTGAAATGACCACCAGTTTGGATTATTTGAAGTTACCAATGTCTTTAAAGGTACTGAAAGGGGGTGTTGATCAAGAGATCCGGCCAGATGGAGACTTCCAAACTTGGTGCGATGATGTTGCAGGTCATGAGAATCCGATTTCGATATTCGACACGCTACGAATAGATAAGGACGCAATCGTGACTGTGCTGGATCGATGTTCGAAACAGCTGGATATGGAAGAGAGCGTTTGCGAGAAGATGAGATCAAAGTACGAGAGCGAATGGACGCAACAGCCGAGCTCGCGGCTTACGACTACTTTACGAGGAAATATTCGAAGTTATAGAGAAGCTTTAGATGAAGCATCGAAAAGTGATGGTCAGCTCTACACCAAATTCCGTCAAAATGAAGTGGCTTTTGAGGAAATGCGGAATGCTGCGCAAACGGGCGAAGTTGATGCGCTATTCCAAACGGCCGTCAATAGAGTTAGATCAAAGTCTAGCGGTGCGACAAGCCCAGCTAGTAGTGAAGCGAACTTGTTGGATGCCGATTTCGACGATGGTAGCCCTAGCGTTGCGGAGCAGATAGCGAGAGTTGAGGACATCCTCAAGAGGCTGAACTTAGTTCAGAGGGAACGGAATCAAGTACTAAAAGACCTCAAAGAAAAGGTATATACGTAATGCCCAGAGGCGTCCATATTAATAGGCTAACGAAGTATAGGTTCACAACGATGATATCTCACAAATCCTAATTCTAAACAAGAAGTCGATCCCGAACTTCGAGAAAGAATTATTTCAATCCGAACTAGAGAAGTTCCGTCCTCACCAAAACCGTATCCTGCAGGCCAACCATAAGCAAGCTTCTCTACTGAAGGAATTGCAAGCATCCTTCGGCCATCTTCTACAGGACAAGCGCGTACGCTCGGAACGCAGCAAATACGAGGCCATACAACGACAAAGGAACATGGTAGTCAGCAAGTATAAGAGAGCATATCAAGAATTTCTCGACTTGGAATCCGGCTTACAGAGTGCTAAGAACTGGTATACGGAGATGAAAGAGACGGTTGATAGCCTTGAGAAGAACGTTGAGACTTTTGTTAACAACAGGAGATCGGAGGGCGCTCAACTACTTAGCCAGATCGAGCAAGAGATAGCCGCGAACAAGAGCACGCAAGCGGAAGCAGAGCGGGAAAGGCTCCGTGGTCTGATGGAACGCATGTCTATGGATCCTAGCACAACTCCGTCGCCGAACCCGAGCTCGAACCGACCTGTCCCGACGCCGCTCTCCTTTTCAAATACTTCGCGTTATCCACAAACGACCAGCGCCTCTGGCCAATATCAAATGCCAGCTTCTCCGCCGCCAAACCAAGTCAATTATCCAGGGTTTTCTAACACTCCAGCAAATACTACATACGCACCCGCGCCACAACAATCATTCACTCCTAATCCGCAACATAATAGTCAACAATTTGGCCAGGCCGCGTACAATCCCAGCGCTTGGGGCCGAAATCCTGGCCCGGCGTCACCACCACCAAACCAGACCACCTTTGGGCTTGGTGTTGGAAGTAGAGGTCCTGCTTCGCCTCCACCTTCACAGACATCATTTGCACCGCACCAATATAGCACATATGGGAACCCACAAGCTCAGACATCACAACAGTACATGCCTCCTGGTTTCGTACCGCCTCCGCCACCTCCCGGACCTCCGCCGCTAGGACCACAACAGACTATTCACTATTCGCAACAACCACAAGAGTACGCATACGGAGGTCCTCAAAACACTGCGCCGCGGTCAGCTCAACAGCAACAGCAGCAGCAACAGCAACATAATGATCCGTGGGCGGGACTAAATGCTTGGAAGTAAAGGATTGAGGTTACGATGATGACGAGGGAAACGCTGGCAATGATTAAGAATTCTAAAAAGTCAAGTATTTGGTCAAGTATTTGGTGGTGAAAATCGCAGTCGAATTGCAACTTTAGACACGTAACAGCTTGTTAGGTTCCGAGCTCATTGTTATTCTTGGAAGAATGCGTGATAAACTATCTGTTAAAACCGCAAGGTCTACTGAGGGTAGCTGCCCATTAGCTTAGTTGGAGGCTGGATATTATCTTCATAGGATTCATAATCCATTATATTTACATATTACCTTGAGGCTGTCTATTTGCTAATTCTTTCACAAAGGTGAGAGCCGTTCATAATACCATTGACGGTAAATTGTATGATATATGAGCATTTAATGCTCATGAGATATGGCAACTAACGTAGCATAATCGACTACAGACTCGGGTTCACTTACAGGCAAGGTCTCGGCAAGCCGCATAATAGAAGGTGGCAGGCAGTGATTTCTCTCGACGTATTTGTCGAGTCTAACAAATACGATTAAACCAGAGACATGAGTTCGCGTGGGGTTATGCCGGACGAGATCCCATCCCATTCGTACGGGTGAGCGAATATGCAAGTCTACCTCTTCGAGCAACTGATAGCCGAAGAGACCTAGTAGCCAGGCCGCACACATGCATAGGTATATATAAGGTAGGCATGTAAATATAGATGTATAGATAGGAGTTGAAAGTGCCGGTGGGCAAAGACGCGGAGATAGAAAGAAAGAAAAAAACACAGATACACATATACACATGGCACATACACATAGACTGACTCAAAGGGGGTGGGATATTCCGTTGAACTGCAGGATCGGTAGGTTTTAATGAACAAATGTTCGGGGGCTTGGCAAACAGTTGATGCTGCGATGCGGGAAGGGCTATGATAAGTCGACGTCGTTTATGCAATGCAAGACAGTTGGCATGGCATATCGCCACATCTTTTTTTTTTTCTTCTTTCGTAGCCCCCTAAACCGACCTAGCGCGGGTTGGACGAAGGAGAACGCGGCAGCGGGATATCCGAAGGGAACTTTCTGTTTGTTGAAGAATGTAGCTGGTGTTGTTGTTGTTGTTATAATAGGGATATATAATGGAAGTAATATTGAATTAGGTGTTGGTATAGTAGGTAGTGTAAGTGTAGGTTGGGTGTAGGTATGAAATAGATATCTATATTAGGAAGTCCAATGCTACAAACTCAACGCGAGTGTGTTTTAAAGAATAAATAAATAAAAAAAGAGTTCGTCGCAAAATCTATCTTAATCGCTACACGTGATTGGAAGATGATGTCTGCATGGAACTTCCACAATGCAGGTAGACACGCATCTACGGGCTGTTCTTACATGTGTGTAGGACTTATTAGTGCTAGTTATCTAAAAACCAATTGATACTAATTGACCGCGGTGGGTAAGTAGATAGTGGGTAGGTGGGGTCTTGTGCAGCGTTGACATCGCTAATTCATTGGGCGTGGGACCACTCTGTAGCACCTGCAGCACCTGAAAGAAAATCGATATTATCCAATCTTCTGGAATTTCTCCATGATCAAATACAAAAATACAAAAAAAAAAATTACAATACGTACCATATACATACCATACCATAACAACAGTCCGCTACATGAAAACAACATCTCGATGCCGCACGAGGCATTGAAGATCATGTATATTACTCCACCAATGGCATTTATGTGACTTTAACGCTGAGCTGCCTTGTTATTCTTCCTCTCCTAACATTTCCTTGTTGACCGTCGATGGGAAAAAAAACTGCTGTCAGACCTTTGGGAATCTGCTTACACCTGGATTGGAAACTGGCCATTGGCATCACTAAACTTTCCAGCCTAGCTCCAATCCGACTCGAATCTAGGCATTCAGCTAGTCTCGAGAATTGACGAACTTACATACATCTTTGTCCCGCTATTGGAGAATCTTGACTTGGTTCTCCTTAACCGCCGCACCTTTGCCTAGACTTATATTTCCCGAGACTCTGTATGCTACCAACTCACCGCCTCCGCTCGTTCCGCCGAGCCTCTTAACTGTTTACGGTTCGAAGTAAAGAAATTATTGCTGCTAGCTCGGTATTGTCACGATCGACTTACACGCGTTTATTATCGACAACCTACTTCCCCGAGTTTCCAACTGCGCGTCTCTTTCGTCCATAACTTGGGTTGCCTCTAGGCACGCGGGTATTTATTATGGCTACGCCCAATTCTGCCCCTGCTGGGGAGGGAACCGAGGGCGGTAGAGCGAGCTTCGTGCCTTTAGTAACAGTTGTGGATTTTCACCATCACAGAGGCCCTGAAGTTGAGAGATGGTTTGGTGTAGAAGAAGGACAAGACCCAGCAGTCGAATATGACTGGCCATTGCTCCCGTTTATGGCTTTGAGTGACGGAGCCCATGCGTGAGTTTACTTTTCAGTATAGTGTCTGTCTGTATCTAGTACAAATCTGAGCTCATTGGCCTATATAGATCGACCGAAGACTTCTCGTATTTCACTCTTTTACGACCGGCTAAAGACGACTCTCCTGCGACATCGCTCTTCGGAATAGCATGTACAAGACAATTGGACGCCTCGCAATTGCTAGTTCGGCCCTCCGACGTGACGCGCTCAACGGTGCAGAAGGCAGTCGTAGTAATAGCAGATAGCCCACAGTTCTTTGGCATGCTGAGGGAACGATTATCTGTTGTTACCAGTGCGTGGTTTGCCCAGCGCGAGTTCAGTGATACCGAGATCCTGCGAAGGTTCCAGGAGAGCCTTGCCGAGGAGAAGGCGCGCGGCCAGATGAATGAGGAGGTAGACAGGGATCAATACCTAGGCATGAGCCTCCGAGAACTCGTGAGGGAATTCCGCTGGCAGACTTTAGTGCTCTTAAAGTGCTGCCTCTTGCAGCCGAAGGTGAGTAGTCTAATACGGTTCGTTATTGACCCGACTTATACTCACTAGGAAATTAGATGCTCTTCTTCGGCTCGCGATGTGAGCGCCTGTGCATGATGCAGTTCTCCCTCATCTCTTTAATACCCGGATTGCTTAGGAATCTCCAAGATTGTGCAGGGCCGGAGCTGAATAACTATGAGAAGAATTTGACTCAGCCGACGAGTTTGAGAACTAGTGATCGAAACTCGTTGCTCTCATACATGGGACTTCCATTACAAATATTTGGCAAGGTAAGACGGTTTGTTCTGGAAATAGGGGCATGAGTTAATTATCTATATAGGGGAGCCTATTCGGGCCGTATACGCCTTTACAGCAATTGGATATCCTTGCAGACTTCGGCACGAAATCATATATAGTTGGCAGTACGAACTCATTACTATTACAACAAAGAGACCGGTATAGCGACATACTAATCAACCTCGACGAAAGTACGATCAATATTACTTCTACATCACTTCGCACCGCATTAGTACTCTCCCATTCAGACAGACGATGGATCGATTTTATTACACAAGAGGTAAATGACACATGGGACGAATCCAATCCAGGCCGGCCGAAAACGATGGGGTACCGTGGTAGCGAGGAATTCATCCGTCTTCAGTTTGAAGAATATCTTCTATCTCTCATTTCTTCCGTCAAATATCATAATTACCTCGCTAAAAATGCACACAATCCTAAAGCAACCCTCCCACATATCGAAGGAGACCCCTCTATAGACTTTGGTAATGAATGGGTGGAATACTGGATGAGAACCGAAAACTACCGGATATGGGAGTCGCATACGGACTCGCATCTATTTGACATTGTAGAACCGAGGCATCCTTGCGCTGGCGGACTTTCAATTGATGATGTCCAACGACGGATTCAGCAGCAGGTGCAAGATTTACATCTAGATGAAAGATTTGCAATTGGCCGGGAAGTACTTGGCAGGAATCTAGCAGCGGGACGCGATAAAGCAAGTACCGTGTTCAACAAGCTATATGCCGATATGGAAGCCCTCCGTGAGGCGCAAAGGAAGCGTGCTGAAGAATCCCAAGCGACTCAGGCTACAGCAGAGAAGAATGGAACTACAGTACCTAATGCAGATTCAACAAAGGTTCAAAGTGCACCGAGTTCCGTTGGAGCGAGAGCCGGCGCTTATATTGGAAGCTGGACTTCTTGGGCAGACCAGAAGCGGAAGCAAGGATGGGGCCGATCAAGTAATACTTCCAATGGAACAGGAGGAGGAGGTGGTGGTTGGGGATTTGGCGGACGCAAATCGAGGTCTGGGAACACAGATTCCAGCAGCGAAAAGAACACACCGTTAAGCAGTCCTGCACTTTCTTCACGTGGGTTTACCAGCATGGAGAAGATTCAAATGTCAGATGTACAGCATCGAGCTAGCGAGGGCCATGAGAGAAGGCCGCTTACGCAAGATAGCTTTGACGAGAGCCTGCTCGATGCTGCGGGCTCGGCTGACGAAAGCGGATCTTCCAGTGCGGGCAGCCCACGAAAGAGCACCGCTCTAGAACGTAATGGTAGGAATCAATACGCGAAACTCGACAGCGATGACCATGGTGATAATGCCAAGGTAGATGATACTGAAGAGAAGGATGATATCAAAGAAGATACTAAACGGGAGGAATCCAAGGTATCCGAAACTACTACGTAGTGATGAGCTTACGGAATCAACCTATGTGCGATCAAATTATTATATACGACGAAGGGGGGTCTAAAAAGAGAGACGCTGGATAATTAATTAGGTGAATAACTACATTCTACGAGTCAACGAATGGGAAGAGCAACGTCGCAATTTCACTATACGGCGACCAGGGCTAGCAGGAAAGAAAGGTACCTAGGTATATATAGAGTATGAGAGATGCGATCTGGTTACCCCTTATCCTCTTGGATACGGGCCAGGGAAACAAGACTAAACAAATATGCTCAACACCTCGCTCAATAGGCAGGATAAACGAACGTTCATAGTAGATGTTCTAAGTTAGTTAGCTACCTAAGGTAGATAGACGACAATTCGTCTGCTCCTACGAAGTAAGAAATTCATGTTGAAAAGGAAAAGAAATCGTTATGTTGGTGTCGCTTTCGGTGATATGTTATAACCCAGTCGTCTTTCTCTTGTGATACTGGGGATATTGGAATATCGTAACTAGCCGATATGTATACTAATTACTTCTAGGAATTCATACTATATACGAAACCATTTTTGTTTAATATACGTCAATATGGTATTACGGCTATAACCAGTTAGTTCCTATGGGGAGGTATGTATCTAAGTGACTTTAAGAATATCTGAACGCAATCTTATTCCACGCGGACCTACTTGACTTCGAAAACTACCTAGGCGCCGGGAGGCTATTGATAGGGAGTAGAGTAAACACGGGCATACCAAAGTAAAGTAGACATTATTTTCACAACATAAACACTGGCGCACGTAAATGTAGAGTATTTATTCGTATCTATGGGATTTACTGTTCCACCTAGACACATACCCAGATGGTATAGCAGGGGCTACTCGGGGCGCCTGAGGTATCAGCACCAGCACTCGTCACAACGACCCGGGGTTTGGCCTAGCTACCTAAGCCTAGGCATATGTAGGAAAACAAGAGGAGGGGGGAAAAGCAAGGAGCAGCTAGCTAGCTGCGGTGCTATAAGTGAGGCGTTTCCGTTCTGTACACGACACAACCCTCTTCTCCTCGTGCCAAATCTGGTCTCTCCGTCAAACGTATTGTGGGAAGCACCCAGCTCGTCGTCGCATTCTGTAGTAACTCGGGGCCTCGTCAAACGCGTAATAAATTCTAGTTGATCGTTCCGAAAATCGCCTCGCGTTCAGATAGCCCGCCAACCAAGAACCAGGAAGAAAAGTAAAAAAAAGCGCCTTCCCAGTGTCCGTTTGGAGAGCCAACCTCCGGGCTTTCATTATTGCACCACCGTCGCAATGTGTCATGAGGAATATAACCGCCGCCGCCGCCGTCGACGGATGCCAGGAGAAATAATACGGGGGGAAATATGCTCGAGTATAATGCAATCCTGCTACAGACTAAGGGCTCATGTCTGTCTTAAGCGAGATAACCGAGATCGTCATCTTCCAACCGCTCCAAGTATTCCTTGTCAAGAAGGATCTCGATGCACTTCTTGATATCACCAACCTTAGGCACGAAGCGTGACCTGATCTGAGTGATACACTCGGTAATTAGTAGGTTGTGCTTCATCTTCTTTCGTGCCTTCATAATTCGGACAATGGCAGACTATAATGTTGATTAGCATCTCGACTATAAACTAATAACCCAGATAGTAGTACTATTACTGGAGAACTCGGAGGATTTAAAAGGGGGAACAGGGGGGGGTATTATATAAATACTTACTTGTAAGACCATTTGGCGGTCATCCTCAATCGTTTTGTTGGTGTCAGCCTCCTCCTGCTTCTGCTCCGTCTTGGTGCCAACGTTAAGGTTGACGCGGATTTTCTTGCTCTTGAAATCGTAGTTGAGATGGAACGTCTTTCCGGCACCAGGCTTCTCCCCGTCAGGCTTCATAAGAAGAACTTTGGCCTTCAGAAGGATACCGAGGGCAGGATCCAGAACCTCGCTAGTCAGCTGAGTAACCGATGCGATATCTTCGTATGAGTGGACATCCTTCGAATTGAATTGCAGAAGAATAGCCATCTGATAAACGCTCACTTGAAAGGTATAAGGCGTCTTTGATTGCCTGCAGTAGCCAGTCTTGAGCTCTCCTTTGCAGAGTTGCCACAGCCAGCTTAACTTACGACCTTCGTGTTTGTTCTTGTAGAATAGCGTAAATCGATCAATATCTGTTTGAATCTCAGCTGGCGGGTTAAATGTCGTATTAGGTGGCGTTAGAGGCCAAAAGCTGGTTCCCAGGATCGAATACGAAGAGTCGAGCGGCTGCTTCTCTGATTGCAGGCCCTTGGTATGCTCTCGAAACCCAGTGTTAAGATCCTTGGAGATTTGCATATCCTGGAACATGCGCTGCAGTTTGTTTGTATATTCGAAACCGCATGCTTCCTTGAGTTTACTTATCATGCTCGTTTCGGCGTCATCCGATGAGGAATTGCTGTGCACCAGACGTCTGGCTAACATTCTCGAGTAGAACTTCTGGAATACATCCTTGTCCTCAATGTACTTGAAAACGGTCATGATTTGCGTTAGAGTAGTATCGAGTTCAGCCTCTTCCACACCAGCCCCACTCTTTCTCAGTAACACATCGGTATACTTGGCGAGAAGTTCGGGAGATTTGCTGCTCCCTGCCTTGCAAATCTCGTTGCGGTTCACAAACTCTCTGCAGGCATTATCCAAAGACCTTGTGAATTCTGGCTCATCGGCAAATGCGCGCTTTACCAAACCTTGATATCGGGTATGTGTCTCAAGCAAAGCTTCCACGTAGACCTTAGGCTCAAGTTTCTCGGCATCCGAAGCAACCTTTGCGACCGCGTTAAGGCCCGCGTTTCGAACGTGAGCCTCGAACTTCTGTCGTAGTGGCTCGAGCCCATCCGGAATCCTAGACAGAAGGTTGTACATACGAGCCATATCTTCCTCTCGGTCGTTATCAAGGAGAACTTGGAACTCATCCCTTAGCATTGCGGAATGGTCGGCGATCAAGGCTTTGTTGCACGTCTTCTTCAACGGCAGCGCTATGTCGTTGTGGAGGTACATGCGCACACGCTCTTCCTCTTCGGCTAATCGAGCCTCCGCCTTCTTCATGTATTCTACCACGCTGTTCTCAGCAACAAATTGCTTAGATTCAGCCTTGTAGAACTCCTCCGTCGCCGCGAGGAACGGCTTCTCAAAATGATATCTATAGGTATCAAGAGTCGACTTAGTTGCATCGTGTTCATCGAGACCGAGGGATACGAAGGAATCGACAACCTGCTTGATCTGCCTATGCTCAATTGTCTCACCATTCCTCTGCTTCTCCACCAGCATGAGTACCGCATCCATAACCTTCTTGTTAACGAGTGTAAAGAATTCGGTGCGCCATTGGTACAGATGTAGAGTGTAAACGTCGTACGTATTCTTCTTACCCTCGTCCATCTCCCGCTTGACCCAGTGCCGGTTGAGATATCGAAAGAGGTGGTGGATGTACTTGGCGGCGACCGTATATCTGTTCCATTCTCTGATATAGAATGCCAGTAAGGCCTCGTCAGCATGTCCCTTGGATTGTTCGTAGAGTCCATTTAGGTGGTTGTTAAGGTATTCCTTTAATTTCTTGTAAAGGTCTTCACCGAGGAGATGCGCTTCGCTCAAGTTAGTGTGAGATTGTGGAGTTTGAGATAGACTGTCGTTACCTCCTCTGTGAGCCTGTCCAACGGCACTAGAGCTCCCTAACCCGACAGCTTTCTGTGATGTACAAAAGTTATGAACCGCCCTGTTTCGCGTTAGTATACGTACAATTAGATAACAAGACCGAAAGACTCACGTATAAATTCCCATATACTATCGAAGATGTTAGCAAAGAAAACCATGCGAGCAATACCCAAGACTTACAGTGGCCATATCCATTCCTTCCTGCAGATTAATCATAATCTTGGAAATACCACTCTGAAGGTACTCCCATGTTTGACCGATGTCCTCTCGGTTCGGCGCCGAGGGCATAGGTCGTGCCGCGGCTAGGGACATGGTGATAAGATGTCGGAAGAGATATCCCCTAAGGAGGGTACCAGGCGAGGACTATAGACAGACAGGTAGATGGCTTTCGGGTATGAAGGTGGGAGTCGGGTCTCTAGACAAGCGAATGTCAAAAACTCAGTTAGCAATAGACAAGACAATCAAAGTGATGTGGGTAATCTATTGTGTAAAAGGCAAGCGAATATTCTTTAGATGATGGAGAAGTGAATTCGGTACGAGGGTCTGTGATGTTTTATATGTTGTGGATGTTGTGGATGTTAGGTAAAATAGAGGAAGACCAAGACAAACAATGCACATACATTGTCTTTGAGGTAGTGAATCTTCCAGACTCGTGACCTTAGTCTAGGAAGGCTCACTATTCGGAGGACAATTAGCGACGCAATTATTTTGAAAATAAAACAATGTGTTGAAAGGAACTAACGGTTAAAAAAAGAAAAAGAAAAGGTGAATGGAAACGAAAATCAAAAGAAGTTGAAAATCGATGTCACAGTTGCTACAGTAAGAATTCACAGATGGAGTTGGATTTCAGGTTGCCGCATCACTAATTGTAATAAGGCAGACACCGCAAAATGACCCGGTCCCCCCCAAGGCTGCCAAACTGACCCGCATCGGCCAAAAGCAGTTTAGCGCCGAGTGGTTGCCAGTCTCCGCCCCCACCTCGACTTACCTAACGCAGGGTAGGTACGTAGGTACGTAGGTACTTAAATGTCTTTACTCCTACCCCTCCACGTCACCTTAGCCTTCCTCAAGTCTACCTTCCTTTAGGTTAGGTACATTGCCTAGGCACCTAAGGTATCTGCCTACCTCACAATAGATTATAATGTTGTACAGGATATTGCTTCCCGTCTGTTGTGTGCCTGCCTATCTATAGCATATAAGGAACGACGCCTGCACATTTGATCGAAGCCAATTCATCTAAACACAAACATCCATTATTAGAGGTTTATACCTTAGGTACCTAGGTACATATACCTCATCTAAGGTCAATTATCACGAATAAAATTGATCACAATGGATCCCGCTGATGTTATGTAAAACCCTCAGGGTAAATATTATTAACGTTATCATCTTGGGGTATATTCATCTCCTTATACGCTATCCATATAAGCTATTTATCTAACTCATTTTTCATTTACGTTATCTATCCCACCGAGTTTTTCTGCCAGTCTGAAAACATTAATAGTGAAATTCAGAATCCAGGCAATCAACCCTACCAGCGTCAACGCCGCAAGACCCCTAGCCAGATGCAAAGACAGTCTCTCCATTGCTGCCCATTCAGGAACTGTTGACAGGCCATCCCCACTATGATACACTAACGCCTCGAAAGCGAGTGCCGTGCTAGCAGATTTCAACACGATGAAAACAAGGTCCAAGAGCGTTAACGATATCTTCTGCGCTGGTGCTCTAAGTCCTAAAGGTTTCCCTGTATATTCGTCCCAAGTCATATATAAAATGTAAGGAATAGCTATCGCGTCAATGACTATAGCTACAATCGCTTGCGAGGTCTCCGGAGTATTGTCGTTAGGGGTTTCTGGGCTCTTCTCTTTTTGGAAGATATTTGTTGCTACAGCAAGAGCTGCAATGGTGGTGATCAAAACGATCAAACGGAATATAAGCGGCGCTATTGGATGCCGCAATACAAAATTCGAGATCTTCATCCCCCACGTATCCTTTCTAGATATTCTCTTGGTCTTGGGATCTAACGGATGAAACGGGCTTCGTACGGGCTGATCGAGGCCTGGCATTTGTTGTTCGAGGACATCATAGGGTACTACTTCGTACTCATCGTCGGGATTTCTCCCATAGGAAGACGAATGGATAAAATCCCGCCATCTCTCGTAAGGATCTTCATTAGGTGCTCGATAGCCGAGTCCCATAATAACTGGCTCTGCTGTGCGCAAATGATCCCATCGTCGCCCCGGCCTGTCGGCTCGTTTCCTCAAAAACACAGGGAGTTTAGATACACGGTCGTGTTTTTCGTCGACCCAGTCAACATAGCCATCCTTTGATACCCTTCGTTTTAATTGGCTTCCCTTATTCTGTTCCGGGCGGACAATTGGCGGAGGAGGATTGATGTGTTTGTCCTTTCTCGGCCCATGAGCGTGTTCATCATACAACTCCACCCAAGCGGGCACGGTGGTCCGCAAAGGATTTCGGGTCATCGCAATGCTCGGTGTAGTAGAGGCATAGGGATGCGAAAATCTAAGGATAAAGGCGAAGTAGGTCGGCGATAGTCGAATAAGCAGATAAAATAGCTAGTCATCCTCTCACAAACATTAGGTAGCTTGTGTCGTCAGGACGCGGAAGAGGTGGGGTGGCTAATTAGCGTGTTGAGTAGAAAAAAGAACTGCTCCAAAGGTACGGATATAACGCCGGATGTGTGTACGTATATATGAGTTTCTGTAGGCGCCAGCTTCCATCAAACTTTCGACATAGGTATTATGTATGGGCGCCAATGACAGGAGTGGAGAAAAGCGCAAAGCGCAAAACCATAAGAAGAGCGAGGACAAGACAAAGCGAAGACAAAGCAAAGCTTCGATTTAACGCGACTAAGTTAGATAGATAAAATAAGCAAGGAGGTTGGTATGTAAGTATAACTTAAAACAGATAGTTCCAAAATCCATTCCATGAACATTAGACTGTCGTTACATACATCGAAGACGGAAAGAAGAAAAAAAGGAAATATAATATGGTTACACGACAAACGCGGTCTTTTTGCGTGCAGATGAGATAAGAAGCAGCTGAGAAGTCAAATGACAAAAAGTTGCGATAGCTTTTTTAATAAATTAAGTCAGCTCTAGGTACCTATACCAGCAAGGGACCGCGTTGTCCGGGGAGACTTACCAGGGATGTAGATATATACATAATAGAAAATATCATATGGATGATGGGGCCATAGCTTTTAAACTATAATCGCAGGGATAGATCGATTTCGTTTCACAGTGGAGCACGATTTACATAGCCACAGGTACATAGCTTCTTGGCTTCCTTTTTTTCTTGGCTGCTTGGGTTTTAAAGTTTATATCATGAAGTTCACAACAGGGAGAGGTATTCTATTATTATTTTCTCCCTTTTCATCCAAATTTTGTATCACTATAAATCTAATATTAAATCTCACATGAATATTATTAAATACAGATTCATATACTATTACACCACCACATCTTCACAACCTAACATTCAATATATTACATCTAGCTTTACAGAAGGTTTAATTATTAGGTACCTAACCTAAGCACGTAATATGAGGTATGTATCTCTATAAGATGTACCTAATCGACTACGTACATTATGCAAGCCACAAAGCCTATCCCTGCGCACATGCGTCACCAAAGAATCTTCATTTGCTACCCTAAAAAGTCCAGGACCTCATAAGTAGAAACTTGCTCCGAATTCGACAAGGGTCTAAAATCTACATTTTCAACGTCATTGCTAGTTGTCATTGCTAGTTCGCTTGCAAACCTCATTGACGTGACCACGATGATTTTCACAAAGTCTACAGAGAGATGAAGTAAACGAGGCTTCATTGCGACCCCTTTATTCTAATTTATTTCGTCGCTATCTTCGTCCGTTTCTGTCACAAGCCCGTCGCAATATAATATCCTCCCCCTCACCCGCTATAATGAGATTCTTTCTCCTCCCTATATCAACCCGGCGAACTCTGCTATATTGCCAGAAGGTTCAAGTCTTACCAACAAGTAAGCAAACCTTAGTCGATAAGGCTACGGTTCGTGCCGCACAGCTTTGGTCTGGCTGGGAGAAAAAAGAGAATGGTTGGCAGAAGAAAGTTGTGGTTTATGGCAACTCGCTATTGAAAAGAATTCCTTATGAGGAATGGGGCCTTAAATCGGTACCTCCTCTATCCACTAGACGAAGGGAAGAAGAAGTGCTAGGAAAAGACAAAAATCATCTTATTTACCCAGAAACATTAATACCTACAACAAAGGCGGTAAACGTCCTTCGAACCCTTGGGACAGAGCGGGAAGCGTTACATAGAACTAGGTTGATGTGGTGCTTCATCGGAATGCCTATCAGTGCACCGTTTGCTCTTGTACCAGTGTAAGTATATTATCCTGTCTCAGTGGCACATCGTACCTTTGCAGTCTTCTAATCGACATACCATTAGCATCCCCAATCTCCCTTTCTTTTATCTAGTGTATCGAGCTTGGTCTCATTGGCGAGCCCTCGCTGGCGGCAAACACATTCAATTCCTTTGCGAAAAGAATATATTATCGTTATCTCCATCGCCCGTACTCGACTCGATATACACTCCACTCCTCCCTAACCCTCCTACTTCGAAAGAACAAATAGCAGACACGGATAGAGCGAGCAAATCAACTACCAGTAGTTCCCAAGAGTCTGTGGAAGAGCGAATGCTACTTTCGCAAGAGAATAGGCGACAGCTCGTAAAGGCGCTGGAAATACCGGAACTCGAAGTTGAACTTGAGCGGGCGATTTGGCAAGTTGAGACAGCGATTCAAAAAGAACAGGAAGAGAAGTCCAAACCGCCCGATACTGAGAAGCCAAAATAGCATGGTACCGGAATTAAAACAGATAGATCTTTGGGAAGCTAGTGACGAAAAGGGTATTTCATGATAACAAGATCACGAATTCATAGATAATGATACCCGGATTTGGTTAGGGGAGATAGATAAACCGGCCTCGCTCCTCATTACGATAGTATCCGAGTAGCAGACAGGAGTCCTCAAAAAGAGTACTCTCATGAGCAATAGATATATGACTGTCACGTTCGCCAAGCCTGAGCTATACCGACCACGCGGATTGCCAAGAGAACTCCAACAATGCATAAAACCCCAATCGTCGCCATTGATCGCCACGTCGTTAACATGTGCAAAAGCTGATACGCTTCTGGTAACGAGCCACCTTGATAGTCGCCAGCAGCAAATGCTTGCTTCTCCATATCCATCCTCCGCATGCCCACGCCTAGACCAAAGTCATGGCATTCCAGATCGGTCCGTAAATAGTACTCCGCAATAGTTCCAATAGGATAATAGTTCTCCTGTGGCTTAGTCGTCGTGATTTTCGTGCCATTGCGTATCGTTTGGGGGCAATTCGTGATGCCATCGTCCCTCGAAGACATCAACCTCCACGCTACTTTCGCCTTTCGACGCAGCAATATCTGCGTCGGACTCTGTTCGCGTCTGGTAACTTGTGCGTAGTATATCCGCCTACGTCGCTTCGATGCCTCGGGCCTTGACGGGTTCAAGGGCGAGGAGATTGTCGGCGCATATTGTTCTCTCAGGGGCACGCTCCAGGAAGCCATTTCCATATTCTGAGATTGAGTGAGCGTAGAGAGGCCAGATTGGAAGACGGATGAAGTCGAATCCACCGGACAAAGAAGGTAAAGGCCGAGCACCCCGATAATGATATGTCGTTTGTGGTACCGGCGGGCTAGATTGCTCTGTTCTCAGAGTTTCATGTATTACCTCCTTTGCTTGCACATTTGAGTTTAGGCAAAATCATAACTAGCTTCTATCTACGCATGGAGTCGCCCTCGACGAAGATATCGAGCATTTGTATTGCAGCATGGGTAGATTACCTTTTAAGGACAGTATTCAATAACCGTTTCTAATTATAACAAGGGAGGTCTTTTTGAATTACGTGGGGTTAGAGTGGCTCGAGTGTAAGAATATTAGGATTGGCCCCTTTGATGTCCCACACTCACGGTACAGTACCATGGTTACGTTCAATGTCAAAGATAAGCCAAGGTCAGGAAATCCGAAATGTTCACATAATATGTCGAGAACTTACTAAACCACAATTTTCGATGTAGAGCTTTAAGATTTAAAGGCTTGAAAGATTCGGAACTTACTGTAATTATATAACCTGGATGGTTAGACCGGAGGAAACCTTCCCACGCGATATTCTTATAATAGGACCCCAAATACACACAACACCAAACCGTTATCGACCCCAAACCGAAGTCCCTACCTGGCCAGGGCCAAACAGATAAAGGACCTCCCGACTCCGCCAACATCAAATGGCAATACCCGATGGCGATACAAATCCGTATAGAAATACATTATACTATAACCTTGGCGGAATATGGTGTGCTATGCTAATCATAATGCGGATCGTAGTTCTTCACAACATCTACAACACGGGGGTCTCAACGGACGGAGTTCATATCACTAGCTCTAATGTTATAAGCGCAAGAGTAAACGGTCGAGTAAGCCCGGCTCCAGTGCATAGTCGCACTGTCTTCTTTATCGCAAATTTGGCTTAGTGAGCCACTCCTTAAGCCTTTACAGAGCCCGAACGAACGTGCTTTTCTTAGGAAATACTCCAGGGTATTGTCCATAGTATGGACGACTACTTTGAGATGATTAATAGTATACCTCAGAACATGTTCCTCGTCATGGGGGTTATTTTCGCATGTCAGGCATCGTCATATACGGAGGTGCAGAGGGAACACATTAAAAAAACGCTAAAATTATTGGACTGACCCCAAGGGTGAAAGGGGTAAATCAAAATAAGACCGATTAGAACTATATTGTTTGTTACATATAAGCCTTTAAATGAATAGGGTAAGTTTATAGCCATGATATGTATTAAATAATAAGTTTTTAATTGCATAAAATTTAATGATAAAAAAACTTTTTTATAAATATTTATTATAAATAAATATTTAAATAACACGTGATTAAAATTACGTAATAAAATTAATAAAATTAATAAAATAAATAAAATAAATAAAATAAATAAAATAAATAAAATAAATAAAATAAATAAAATAAATAAAATAAATAAAAACATTTATATTTTTTAAAAATTTATATAAATAATTTAAAATTATATATAAATTTTACTATATTACGTTTATTTTTATCGATTTATTTCATTAAATTATATCATATATTCGCTTATCGAATTTTAAAAAAAATATGGTTATACGTGGGGGTGGGTATAATGACAAATTTTGGGTTTTTTTAATGTGTTCCCTCTGCACCTCCGTAGTCATATCCACCAGCTATCCACGATCGAGTCCCATGTTAACCTCCGCACGGCTCTCGGTCGGCTGCGGCGGTGGAGACTTAGCCCGGAGAGCTACCATCCTTATAACAGCTCATGCCACGACTTGCGGAAGGTATATGATGCTCGATACAAGCAGCCATGATGGCATCGCGTATATATCACGGATAGAGTCTATATGAGCACCCCCTTCTTATAGCTTCCTTAAGTCTTTTAATAACCCCATTTTGTTTCCCCTTTCCCTTAACACTTACTCTAGCTTAATCGTTCCCCGAGGCAAGTAGCAAAACACCTCAGGTAGACCAGGATAATAATCAAAAAGATGTCATTAGTATCACTCTTTCTAGTGAGTACCAGCTACAGCTATAACCGCGTTCCCAGTTTTACCTTCATTAGTTATTTCCAACGGAGGTTCCACACTTTCCCCATCCAAAATAGCTGCAACCTCTTCCAAGTTCCTTTTTCCTGTTGTTTCCACAAAGAGGAAGTAAACAACAATTAACTCAATAAAGATCCAGACATCGTAGATGATGTAGAACTTCCAACCCAAAGCTTCGATGCCGACCGGGTTGGCGTATTGGTTGAAGATTAGTGCCAATGCACAAAAGACATTGTATAGGACCAAGCCACGTGCCCGAAGGTTGAAAGGCATTATTTCAAGAGGATACGTTACTTGAAGTGTTCCCCAACCAATACTATAGAAGAAGTTGAAAATTAGTACCAGGGCCAAAACACCTCGTGCAGCGTTTTGATTTCCTCCATTGCCATCTGCGTCCACAGACTTCTCGTATGTTGCCTCCAGACCCGTCCAAACCACATAACACATCCAACATCCTGCAGTAGAGACGAGGAAGAGCGTACGACGTCTAAACCGATTTACCACCAAGGCAAATCCGACGCCTACAATTAAGCTCCAAAGTGTCACCATAGCATTGATCAAGGTTTGAATGTCTTGAGTCTTGTAGCCGATAGAATCGAGGATTAACGTGAGATAGTATGAAATGATGCCGTTTCCGCTCCACTGGCTAAAAAAGCCGACCGCTAGGACGATAAAAAAGCGCCGCCGATTTCCACGAGTTTGGAAAAAAGACAGATATGAGGTTGACCTCCTATTCTCAGATTCAACACGGAGGGCTATGCGAATCTCCTCGAGTTCCAATGCGACTATCGGATCGCTGGGGTCGCCGTTGGCGTGGTACTTGGTTATGAGGTCGCGAGCCTCCTGAGTTCGATTAACAGACATGAGCCAGCGTGGTGACTCCTCAATCAAGAAGCAAAGCCCAATTTGTATGGCACTGGTCATGCCTTGGAGAAGCGAGGGGATTCGCCATGCCCAGTCACTGTTAAGTCGAAACGAACCATACGTGATCCAAGCAGCCATCAGCGATCCCAGACCCCATAGGCTATTGTATATACTGACTAGAGGTGCGGCGTGAGGGGGGTATGCCAGTTCCATAATCAGGAGTGGTGCAGCTGTGATGTTCAAAGCTAAGCCGAATCCTAGGACACCCCTTGCCCCAATAAACATTGCGGTATTCTGCGCACCGCCTTGGAGGGCAGCCCCGAGCAGAACTATAGCAGCACTAGTGACGAGAGCATTCCGACGGCCGTATAAGTCGCAGTACGCGGCACAAAATGGAAGGGAGATCAACTGGCCCACGTTTTGAATAGCGTTAAGACTATGGAGTATCAGTAAATCACAATAAACATTAGAGATGGACATTATCATGGCCCCTTACAGCCCAAGCTCGATAGCCCCCGGATTGTTGAAAGACGCTTTCCACGTATCTAATGACTGTAAACCATTCATCATCGAAGTATCATAACCGCACGAACAGCTTGAAATAAGGGAGATAAGCAAGATCAAGTTTAGTTTCACAATGCCTTTGTTGGACAACCAAGAAATCTGGCCTTTCGCCAAAAAGATAGGCTTCTCCATGTTTGGCATTGGAACACCGTAATAACCTCCAGCAGAAATGATGGGTTATTAAAATTGGCAGGCAATGATTGTAGCACGAAATTCTTCTTATATTTTAACAGCCAATTTTTCAGAACAGATGTTGGTTATATTAGTCATTATATCAATAAACAAAGTAGAAATCCATCTAACTATCTGCCGTTCCACGTATATTAATGGCAATGCAGGTATTCAGGTTGGAAGCCGCTGCTAACTTGAGCAACTAAGGGTGAAAACCCGAATAGATGATGGAATATCCCCAAAGAAGTGTTAAGGTGACATTTACGTGCTGGGCATTGCAACCTGCTTCATCTAAATTTCGGGATGTTCCTATTGTGACCCATGTTATCGGCACCTGATTGAGAGATGTGAGTTATTACGACCACATAAAACCCACCTCTACTTCATGATCATTCGCCTCTTTTCTCTCCCGGCGGAGCATATCATAGACATACCTAACTTATCTTAGTTGACGGAATATCCTGTATTTATACTACTCTCGGGGCCTCAGTACTCGGAAGAAACCAATTACAATGTATATGCTAACAGCAGAGCAGAGGGTTTATCACTCTTTCCCCAGTTCCGTTCATGACAATTATGGTTGGGATATTGCTAGTAAAGAGTCACTTACACGCAATGGCGGCGGCGACAGCACTGGGCTTACCAAAATTATAAAATGGGCCATAAATACCCACAACGTTGACCCGGCCAGGGTCTTTGTTATTGGCTCGTCTCCTGACTGTATGATGACCAATTTTATGTGCACGACGTATTGGCTTTCCGGCGGGATGCCTCGCGGGATCTCCAGGACCAAGCCCCGAAACCAGAGACCCGAGCTGCGGAGAAGGTGAAGTTACCAAGGCGGGAGCAGAGTGGGCTGAGCAGGTGAGATGTACCCTAGATATAACGGGACATATTTTCGCTCGCTCGTTTGGCACTGAGATGCGGATGATCTGGTTTTATACCCGAACTTGGCGGAAATAGAAACATGGCTTGGTCGACGCCCTTCTCGGATGCATTATAGGTAGGCCTAACCTAGCCAATTGAATAATACGAACTCCGTCGAATCCATTGAAATTCATCTAAATGGCGGAGTTCCTAGCGAGAGCGACGAATGATGCGCATCAGGGGATGTGGAGATATGTCAATTGTTGCTACTTTACTAGGCTAATGATAAAGCTGTACTTACCGTTTACGTTCCGGCAGTTCAGCAATCGTATTCCTTAGAAGGAATAGTGGAATCATGGATGTTTATGTATAATAATTTACATACCATAGCGGGGTTGTATGGTTTGGTAGAATTGTTTAGCTGTATGGGAACACGAAGTCGTTCACAGGTAAAATACCTAATAGTAAATCCAGCGTAGTTGCTAACATTGATGTTTCTCTAGATAAGAGGTTGTGGGATCAGGGTTATAGCTACAGGACATAGACAATGCACTTTACGTATTTCCCTACAATAAAACTTGCAATAATTCATCATCCTTCCACCTAACCAATGCTTTAGCCCTCCACTCCTCCCAATCTTCCTCTCCAGAGTCGAAGGCTCGTTTAAGGCCCATGAAAAGATCAATCATTGTTTTTCGATCATTATGGGATCCGCTGCCAGCGCCCAGAGCAAAGAAGAATCGCTGCACTTTCCTTCCCTCGACAATGTATTTGGCTAGATCGTCACGACCTCTTTCCCGAAAGATCATAGCTAGTCGCAATTCTTCCTCGGCAAGCTCGTTGGAACCGTCGTAGAACTTTGCAACGGGCCACATCATACATGGCGAGGAGAATGCATTTTTCTTTGAAACTGTCTGGCACCACTCCCAGTCTATCATTCCGACGATGTCGAAATCTTCGTTTACAAGGATGTGATCGCCCTTATCGTCGGGGTGCTTCAGGAAAAAGGGTCCTCCCGACGGAGCATCTTTCTCGATATCGTTTAGAAGATCTAAACGGAAGCGATGCATGAGGAAAACATCTATCGGATAAGTAGCCTCTATCTCACCGCTTGCTATCATAGCAAGGTACAATTTGATAAGAGCGTCGGCTCCCTCTAGGGAAGAGTGGAAAGGGCCTAGGGGCCCGGTAGTTTCTAAACAATACACTTCATGATGGGCGATGCCCTGGATCTCGTACCTTGTTGGGTTGCTAGCTGGGACCATTGACCCCATCGTATTGAATGGGTGTTTCTCGATTTCAAGAAATATGTCAACTAATTGCTGCATGACCTTCTCTCTCTGCGGCGAGTTGGCCCCTTGCCAATCCAAGGGTTTCCCTTCCATCTTTTCCATCAAGATATAGCCTACCCGTCCCAATGGGTTACTTGGGTCTGATTCGCATGCCCAATCGAAAACTTTCGGGGAGGGGATACGTGTGTGCTTCTGTAAAAAGTCCATTGTGGCTGCCTCGCTCCGAAGGATGTAGTCGCGACATTCTAGTGGAGGCGATGAGATATTTGACAAACGGAATCGAGCGAGCCATTTCACGTTGTCGTCAAAGGTAATCTCGGCATGGCAATTTTGGCCACCCATCATAGACGAAAGGTTCTTTGCCGACAAGTTGACAGTGCAAGGAATTCCTCCTCTACGCAGCGACGCGCGTGCGCACAATTTAGCACTGTCTATTCTACGGCATAGTTCGTCCATTTGGCGAGTTTCCGCGGCCACGTATTGAGAAGCGTACATGTTCCAATTTTCCTAGAAACGTTAGGGATAGTATGACTACCTGGTATATATTCAGGAGCAATGATATACGTGCCTCTGGCTTGGGACATTCATGCCATTCATCCTGCAGATGAGTTCGACATAGATGTTTATTGCAGAGGGGACAGCTTCCAGCTCTTTGAACGGCTGGTTGTTTGCAACCATCCCAGTCGCAAGACCATAGAGATAGTTTCAGAGACCGGTTGATAGAAGGTTCCACCATACTAAATAAGGGGCGAGAAATAAATTACGAATAAGTGTGCCGTCTGCCAATATTTCGGATTACGATGAGTTGTGGCCCCTACATCTAAAAAAAAGGCTAGTACTGTTAAATTATTCTCTAACCATGTCCATATACACATGTTTGCTAGAGATATACCTAGGTAGTCAAGACATATGCAAGGAGGTAGGTACTATCTATCAAGATGACTCCCCTAAGATGGTGCACATTCAGGTGACTTACCTTAGGTAGTTTTCTCGCCCTTAATAGTCTCGCTATTATCTATCCTCCAGACCCAAATGTATCAAGACACGGCATATCCCTACATATAATACAATATGTAAATAGACAAACGAGCGTATCCGATCAATTGAGTAGGCGTGAAGTAGGTATATATGATTAAGAGTTATATTTCAAAAGAAAGATTTAGTCACCTTGGCCTAACACAATCCATACAGAAAAGCTATTGGGCCATACTTCGGAATGACGATCATGCGGGTTTGCGGTGTCAGAATATGTACCTAAGACACAGGAGGCAAAAGCTCGGGAAGCATAACACCCGGCTAGGAATAGTTCTTGGCGTGGGGATGGCCTGTCACTCATCCGAACCAATTCAGACCTCGCTCAGTATACCTCCTACCATTGAATCGGTACAATACGAATCAGTTCTTAAGAGATCCTGCAAGATTAGCTCGTTCTAATAATTTATCCCGGGTAGCATCATCCGAAGTTTACGTTTCTATATGTGCATATGGTATGGTCTGAAAAAATACTAACAACATGCCTTCCGAGTAGATCAGGAGGCTTGGCGTCCTCGTCTTGAGATCATGGTGATGCTCCTGCTCTTCCTTGATCAAGTAACGTCTGATGTTAACTGACTTATGGCAATATAATATTCGCTGCCAAGCTAAATGAGGTTTCGGTGATGGCATCAAAGCTAAAATACCCATATGCCTTCTCACGTGAAGATGTAAGAGAGTCGTAGGAGTATAGGAGTGATTGATACTTGAAAATGAAGATATAACCCACGCACTCCCCAACTTAGAGAAATCTTACTATCTTATCATTCAAGAAAACTATCAAACACCACACTCCTTAACATTTCATATTTTAGAGGTATGGTATTTATAGACCATGAATCTCTTAGCTCGTAACTGACGAATAGTAGCTGCGCTCTTTCGATTCTCTTCTGTCTTTAACCCCGTTTGAAAGTACGTTCTCTGGCTCTGACAATAGTACTAGAGCGTGTGCTAACATAAAACTTTCTAGCGGTATATTTATTATAATATTTATACATACCTAACGACAAGATGAAGTTTACGACCGGTCCCCTTTTCACCACATTGGCATTGATTGCCTACTTGCCCAGCATCCTTGCTGTGGAAAGACTTCCCGTAAATCAGCGTTCAGTTGCCGTGCTGAGTTCCGGGCTAGCAAATAATGGCACTGCCGCTGGAAACGGCTCCGAAGTGGTTAATTCTGACCAAGGCGAAGAGAACAAGGATGACGCCGGGAATAATGCCGAAGACAATGCAAACGAGGAAGAGAATGTCGATGAAAATGGCGAGCAGAATGATGATGCAAATGAGGAAGAAAACGCAGACGACCAGCAAAATGCTGACGAAGAGAACAAAAACCAAGATGACAATGAAGAGGACAACCAGAATGATGATGAGAACCTTGATGAGAATCTCGACAACGCCAATGAGGATGATATCAAGGGCAATCTTCAGGAGAATATCGGAAATCTCATGCTCTCGCTAGGTATCTGCAACTTCAACCTCGGTAGCATCAGCAACATTGGTGTCGGGAACCAGATCCAGCTTCTCCTTCAACTCCAGCAACTTGCTCAGCTTCAACAACTTGGACTCGTCAATTCATTCTCCATTGAGCAGCTCATTCAACAGGAACTTCTCCTTAACAACTTTAACCTCAGTAAGCCCTTCTTAGTAAATTTAACTTGTGTTAAAAGCGATTTACTAATGACTTCTAGACATCATCAAGCGTACCGTTAGTGCATCTGTCAAGCAGGCTAGCCGTGAGAATAAGCGCACTCTTGTGACTAGAAAGGAGTGTCAGAACAAGAATGGCAAATAAGGTCATATGACTAGGAGGAAAGATTTGATTGTTCGAAATCCGAGGTCAAATTATGTCTAGCTATGATCAGAATCATAGTGTCTATATAGACTTGTAAATTAGAATCTATTGAAATTTTAATTGTATCTGTGTCCCTACCCAAGATTGTTTTCAACTAGGTACCACGAGTGTTTTAACTTGAGAGAAAATATTAGTTAAGATATACTGTCACAATGGCATTCCCGGTATTCCTATTAATTAGCTACCCATTAGGTTAGATAGTTTAGAATGGGCTTTTTGACAGATTACCTGTATTTATACCTAAATAAACTAGGAAACATGTGGATGTTCCATACATAAGTCCAGACACGCTTAGAGAAACATTGTACTCTATGTACGTACTCTATTTAATATGTTTTTACGTATCTTCAAAATCGAAGATAGAGCCATCCGTCCCAGTGGGACTTGACATGATAGCACGGAAACCCATGGATAAGGTGAGTCGAAGAAACAAGTTTGTTTAGACCCAACATCATCAGATGAACACAAATATTGGGTCCGAAATACTACCATGTGTTCTGTACCAAGTTCGGATATGTCAGGTTCCAGTGTAGCCATGGCCGAGGGGTATAGTTACATGACATATGTAAGGAGTATACGAAATATAGTCATGCCTTAGGTCTGTGTGTCGTATCTGTAACACATCCGATATCCAGGAACGGATCTCGGGGTAGCATCGAGACCCTAGACTAATAGATGAACAGACCTGGTCTAGGCTTCTTTAGTGCCGTGTCGGGAGATCTCTTAGGAGTGACAGAGACCCCTGTGGATCTGGGGTCTTCAAAACATTAAAATGAGTAACATGACTCTATGATTGGCTGATATAGCCCTGTCATTAAGATAACCTTGATCATGATGAGATTGTCACTTCTCAATACACCATCCGGGAGAGTGAATAGTAGGTCCGAGACGTACTTTCTTGAAAACCCGAACCCAGGTCTGTATTGCCGGCTAGTCGGCACCTTGAGAGTGAAAAGTAGACCCTGCGTTTAACCCCTGTCCTAGTTAAGACTTTGCCAAGAACTTGACAGCGCTTTGGTAACAACAGTCTTCCAACTTCAACTCATCTGCCATACAAACCACTTCAAACTTTTGTACACACGAGAATTAATTGGAAGTGATAGTTGTAGGCAAATTTCTCTACTATATGATCAAGACGCTTTACTAACAGGTATGCTATTTTTTTGATAGCGAAAATTGCGGAAAACGATATCGCCAACCCTTGACGACGATCAAGCGAGTTGTTAAACTAGCTTAATGTAACGGCGTCAAAGAGTCACCAGTCCATGCGGGGAAATTGGGTAGTAAGAGAAGTACACCTCATGGTATAGTACATGACAGACGATTAGCATAGTCAGATCTTGTTCCAGCTAAGGTTAATTAGACTACTATTACCCTTGAGATGCACTTCTGATCTACGCTTTGGCTTCCGGCAAAAAGCCTTCCCGTGAATAATCAATGTTACCTATAGCTCCCCCCGTTAGACAACCTCTCTTTTTTTCTGTTGAGCCCAGCACGCAATGAGCAGGGGCTATCGGCTATTGATGTTTGCGTCCATGCAAGGTTGCAATCACTATGGTATTCTCATGGTTATTTCTGCCAAGACATTCCCACGAGCTGTTGAATGTCTCCATTCCGGACATGTTCCTTAGGCTCGGCTTGTTTTACTACTCGCACATCCGCCTAACGGTTTCTACATTTTGACACGCACCGGAACTCTCCTTCAACGATGTTCCGGGTTATTATTGTCTCCTCAAAAGCTTGGCGTTGTTTCTAGCCCTCATGCCATCCGATCAACATGGCTTTCCATTTGATATATAAGATGATGTTCATCCCATCCAGATATGTTTCTTTTTCTCCTCCACCACCAATCCAAAGACATCTTCAGACCTCTCAATCCATTCTCTCATTCATTCCTTCAGAGGTAAGCCTTGAGCCTTTTAACTGGTTCGACAACCTCAACTAACATTCGATAGCTGTGCTCGTTGTTTACTTCATTCTTTACTTACACTCATTAAAACTTTCGAGGTAAGTCAGATAACATCCAATGAGCTTAAAAAGATCAACAAGACTAACTGATACACACAGCTGTGCTCATATTAATTAATATTTTAATCTTTCAACATTCACTATACCTACCTATTCAATATGAAGGCCTCCACTATCCTTGCCAGCGCTCTCGCTGCTTTCGCCACCGCTGCTCCTACTGCTATCACTACTCCTGAGAAGCGAGCTACTATCGACCTTGGCGCTTTCAACAACTTCGCCTTTGCCAACCAGGATCTTCAGTACCTGCTCGCTATCAACCAATTCGACTTGCAATCGTTTGCTCAGTTGGGTGCCTTCAACAACTTGAACATTGGCAACTTCCAGGGGCTCTTCGCCGGCAACGGCTTTGATATCAACGCTCTTCTCCAGCTGCAGCAGATTGCTCTCCTGTCCCAGCTTGGCGGCCTTGGTATCTTCGGCAACTTCGACCTTAGCTCCCTCCAGCTCAATGTTTTCGACCTCGGTCTCATCGGCGGCATTGGCGGCTTTGACATCTCTTCTCTCATCGACCAGTCCCTTGTTCCTCAAATCCAGGCTATCATCCAGCAGACGCGTGAGTAACCACCACAGACAAATTTAGTAATGTACATGGTGCTAACTATTATACAGAAATAAACGCTGTTGTCATCAACTAATAGATATATCGCCAGATCCTGGTTAATATACTACATGGCATTGCTGTAATTAATAGAGGATCTATATTATGAAGTTTAGGATATACAAGGCGGGATAAGAAAGGGGGCGGGAGAGGGTAATACCCTGAAATTATTTCATTCTTATGTCAATTACCGTTGCTTCTCGCTAGCTCGATAATATCATGGATCATTGGGGTCTACCCTTTTTTGTTTAGGTGCCTATAGCATTAGAGGATGTTGTACGAAAAGATTGTTGGATGAATGAGAATGGAATTTGTTGGTATATTGAAGATGATTCTTATTAAGTTTACCTTTGGGATAAAATTTCCACAGTGACCGATTTTAAACTTGTTTAGTGATGCTACTGAGTTTTATCCTCAGCGCTGTAAGACTTTAAGGTAATTTCTAACGCTCTAGTATTAAATATTACTAGAGAAATAGATATAGTAGAAATATGCCAGGCATATTTGATCACTCGCCTATCTAAAGTATAAAACCCTTGATATCCATTTATCGGACATAAAACAAATAATTTTAGATTATCAACGTAGCTAATCTATCCAAAAGCCATATAGTGATATAGAATTATATTAATAAGGATACCGGACTACCTAGCTAGGAGGTAGTCATCGACGCCTATACAGAATCGATGGCGGAATTAGTGGCCGTTCAGCCACAAAAACGAAAGGAGGCTCAAATCCTTAACGGCCACTTAAGATAGGGGGCACATTGCTTGGTCTATCTGTAGGAGTCCTAGCTTAGCTAGATATATAACATCGAGTGCCTAGAAATGGATACAAACGTAGTCTGATCCCGCCTCTCATTAAAAGTAGTATTGGGATGAATGAGTTTGATTTACGTCCCCTAAAAGACTTAAAAACACTTGTTATATAGTTGATAAGCGAGCAACTTAGCTCACGTTAATAAGTATCAAAGTTCGATTTGTTGCTATTGTCAACGCTTGTGGCTTTCAAAAGGTATCTACAATGAATATCTCTATTATGCCTACAATATTCTCATTTCTGGGCTTGTTCTTTCACATTAAATGACTAAGAGTGAGTGAGTTGGGATTGTTAGAAAATGGTGTGATTCCAGGTAGCTAAGTTGGCTGTATACCCAACGGCTCATCTCTCATACGCTTGACATTTTGGTAATAGTAAAAATAGTAAGGGGTTGATAATATTCGAGAACACGAGGTCGGCCAATAGATACTTTTCTGAATGGAGATACGGCTGGGGAAAATAGGGAGAGTTCTCTTGACGATAATTGTCTCATCTCAGGGGTGCAGCAGATGTCAGTCCCGATATCGTGTCACTATGGCGGCGTTCCATAAGTGTGATATTCTTGGTGCGTATACGTATATCCATGTACAAATGAAGGCGGCAGACAAGAAAAATAAGTATGAATTGGTAAACACGGCTATCTAGCCACTCCCGTGCCGGGGAACCAATCACATGTTTATATTGTCACGATTTCGGATGCCGCAGCGATCTTCGCTTATATGCAGGTCTATTGAAGTACCGGCATCCTATCTCTACCTATACCTTGTTGCATACAGCCTTATCATTCATTCTCGATATTTTCTTGTACATGATTTAGGAAGGCGTCTAGCCAAGTCGCTGTCTCTAACTGTGTTTTGGTTAAGGACTTCTGGCGGCGTTGATGAGGCCGCCGGCCGTGTAGTCTAAGGCTAAACTTCTTACCCGGCAAGAGGTCAATAATCGGGACAGTGTACCCATTGCATATTAAAAATGTGGGAGGCCAAACGATGTTTCAAAATGCAGCGAGTTCCGGTCTCACTCAAGCCTGCTTGATGTAGGCATCGCTACATATTTCCTCGCTCGTCATGGAGTGGCTTGGTACGACCTTAGGTCCAGTGTCAGTCCAGCCTCGTGGTTTAATTAATTAAAATAAAGCCCTTATAACGTTTCGTAGCATCCAAGCTATTGATGGAAAAGAGGCGGTCTCGTCGGGGCCGACTTCTTACCATCGCTGCATTGTCTATCACTATGCCTAATGGGCCTACCATTTCTCTAGATGCCCAACGCACACTATCGATTTAGCTGCGCTGTCAGCACTTATTACACAGTTGACCGAAGCCCTGATTCGGTGCTTGGCGCCCAGTAGAAACTCTCATCCGGAGTAACCAAAGGGAGTGAGCGTCATGAAAACAAGAAAGAAAGAAAAAAAAAACTGCCTTTCACGAACATCGTTCGGCATGTTTGTGCATAGCATGGCATGGAATCTAAAAGGTGGAAACTGTCAGCCATTCTTGGCTTCCATTTGGACGTGGGGGCTATTGGCCCTAAGAGAAGCCAGATGGTCGACGTCAAGAGGAAACGATCTACAGTGCTAAAGAAGAAACCAATCTGAAATGTTATAAGCGTATCTTGTTATTGCTGCACCCTAGCCGCCCTAAAAGGATCCTACCCTCCATGAGCACGAGGGAAGAGAACGGTCACAACATCTAAACCGTAGACGGTTATTGATTATCGACCGGATTAGATAAGAGTTCCTTTTCTTACGGATGCTGCGGTGCGAGGTCTCAGCCACGGTGTGCACGCGTTTTAGCTCTAAGTCGGCTGGGGAGTGCCGTCCGCTTGCATAAAGACCGTAATATCTAAACTCCTAGACTTACCCATTAGGTTAAATGAGTCAAGTGTGGTTTACTAGGGCCTTACTTAAAAGTATAGACTTATCTTAGTCTTAATATTGACAAGACTGAGAGGGGACTTAAAGACCGATTTATATATTGACGTAAGTTCTCGGTCCCCAATACGCACGACCCAGTGCGAGTCTCGGCATCAGTCCCGGCCTTCGCCGCCCCACGTCCGGGGAGAAACAATAGGAGAATTGTTTTTACCAAACTTACCAGATTTGCTAGATAGTAAGCAATGCTCGCGCCAGTAGTTCCCATCCTTCGGGGCTATGGGTTTATAGTATTCTCTATTTCTTATGTGGAGCCCCGTGTAAGACGTGTCACTAGAACGAGCTGATTCGCGCATCCTCCACCATCGGGGCAGTGCAGTTTTTGTTCCTTCGTAATTGGTTATATGTACGCCCTATCAATCCTTTCAACACATAGGTTAAGCTAGTACGAAGTAAACCCCGTGAAGCTGCTGCAACGAGCTGCGGTTCTTGGGGCTTTTGGTGGCTGGAACAAACACCCCTTGGTAAACCCGGGCAAAGTCCTTTAGCGCTCGGATGTCCAAGATAGACCGCTATCCTTACTTCCCACTTAGCTAGCCAACTACCCTCTTCACATTCTCTTTCGTTTGTAATAGGCTAGTCTTTAGCTTTATGAATTTAGTAGTGTTATACTCTTCATCTATCTTGTGGTCAGCTTTGGGTTCCAGACATCGATTTTGACGTGTACCGTCACATCACTCGTTATGCGTTTCTCTTATATGTTACTGGCGCTTGTAGCCAGCGTCACCGCGGACAACACGGCGCAAACGAGACGGTCCGATGAAAAGGAGTTGACACTTAAATCAAGAAGATCTATCGAAAATTCTCAGTCGGTTGCGGCAAGGGTCGCTTCAGTCGACATAAATCATAAAGGAGTAGTTGTCTCTAGAAATCCAGGATGTGATCCTGATGACGACGAGCCTGATCTTCCCTTTTGTGACAAGCTTCGCGAGCATATAAAAGAACAACAAGAGAAAGAGAAGGAACACGATGACGATGAAGATGGCAATGGCGAGAAGCATCACGGCAGTGGGATGATAGCAGGAGCTGTAATAGGCGCTTTTATTGCACTTTTATTCCTTCTGGCCGTATGGTATTTCCTCCGTATCCGACCTAGGAGGAGACAGCGTATACTAGAGCAGCGCAGAAAGCAGGATGAGCTTGAGAGCAACTATCAATTCTCTCCCCAGGGCACACATTTACCAACTCCGCCAACCCGATCCATGCCCGGAAGTCAAAACCCCTCCGAGCATAATGTCAGGTTCCAACGTACACCTTATCCGGGTGATGTCTCATCTCCGTCAATGACAAATTCGTCGATGTCTGGTCTGGCTTTACCAACTCCGGCACTTACATATTCCCCATCGGTTACATCCAGTGCTGTATCTCCAATGTCCCCAGTACCGGCACACGGATTAAGCGACAAGCCTCCCGCATACGCAGCGGTAGCAGCCCTCCAGTCTTCCGAGCCGCAACCCGAAGCGAGCGCGTACCAGATGGGCCAGACCCCCATGCCATTAGAACCGCCGATGTACCATCTGACAGAAGCACCGGGACCCGCCGTTATGGATATGAAAGGGCAACCAATTTCCCGATACTAAAAAGAATGATTGTATGATGGGAGAATGTAAAGGGTCTAGGCAAGGTTATCAGTCATTTCCGCAGGCAAGGTATTCTAGTTCTGAAATTGTACTGTAGATATCCCCTAATATTCAGAAGTTCATTATCTTTTACTACCATGTACTCGTATTAGGAAAGGGATGTCATTGCTCAGGAGCGAGTGGCACAGAAGAATCAATAATAGGTTATTTTTTTGGCTTTTTCTATGTCAGTAGAAGAGAGAAGAAAAAAAAGCGATAGTTCTGTTTCTCCTTATAAAAAAAATGCCTGTAAAAATAAAAATTCCCCTTAAAAAAAGTAAAAAAATAATAGCGATGGATAATGTCGTTACCGCAACTCCTGATTGATTTGATCCTAGACCCGACCCGAGGTGCAGTTACAAAAAAGCGTCCTGAGACTTTAAATACCATACCCAGTAATATTAATGCAGAGCCCACTCGAATAGAATTAACTCGTGTAATAATGCTGCTGCATGAACGTATTGATGTAGATGGTGATACAACTTGCCACAAAAGGAGATGCGTAGAAAATCCTAGCAAACCAATATTGTCATTTCATGCATCTTCATGAACAAAATCGTCAAAAAAACATATGTGCCCTAGTACGGGAAAACGTTCCTCTCAATAATAAATAATCCATTGCCTTAACATTATGATGATGATGATGATGATGATGATGATGATAGTAATAATGATGATCGAATCTCTACGCAGCGAGTGTGTGCGGGTCCTGCTCGACGTGCTCAACCCATTCGTATACGCGGTGCATGCCGCGTCCGGGCCCGGTGAGGCCGGCGAGAACGGAGTCCTTGGGCGATGTCGACGCAGCTCGCTGGCGGTGCCGCACCCGGGGTCCGGGTTCGTACAGAGCCGAGTCGTCCATGTAGCCGCGCGTTGCGGCTCGTCTGGGGAGCATCCGTTCGGGAACTCGACTGGCCCGTGGAATCTCGTATAAGTCTTCGTCGTCTACGGTGTGTCTACGCATCATAGGAGGTGTCGGTAAAGGGGCTTGAGACGGTAGCGGCGGCGGGCCCATCGCTCGGGGAGGGGCCGGGGGAGGTGGTATGCCCTGTCCGAAGCCTTGAGGGGCCGGGCTGGGGTTTTGACGCTGTTCGAACCGGTCGGCGAGACGGCGTTCCATCGAGCTGGCGCGAAGGCCGCGTGCCCTGTTCACCCCGGTGACATAGTCTGCAACTGAACCTGCTGTCCTTTCAAATGGTCCTACTGGTGGCGGCGCAGGTGCTGGCGGCGCGACTACAGTCTGTGCTCGACGCCTATAGGGGTTATTCATATTGAAGTGCGCCGTATTGTTGGTGGCGGCGTTGTTTCCGAGACCCATAATATCATCAGCTGGATCCATATATTCATCTTCGCTGTCCTCGAACTGAAGCCGCCGTGCTAATTCTTCGTCTCGCTGTTCTTGAAGACGTCTACGGATAAGTTCTTCATCGTAGGTATTTGGTCGAGTTCGTAGTCCATTACCAGGCGAGCGTCTAGCATCAAAAGCCTGAGCAAAGCCCTGAGCAGGCGGGGCACTTCTGAGGCCTAACCTCTCGCGGTCTATCATCGGTTCTGGGATCTGCATATGCTCGAGCCCGTCCGCGTCGGCGCCATCATAGTTGAACCACGGGCATTCACAAGTCTTCCACTTCAGGCCGCAAATCATGCAAAATTCCGCTCCGCAACGACTAAATTCTTCATTAGACCCTCGCAAAGTCCTAGTCATAAAGAAAGATGTCTTACCATGTCATGTGATTACAACCTTCCTTTAACTCTACCATATTTCTGCAGTTGAAGCAACGCTGCCATCCCTCTTCCTTAGCCTGCTGTAAAATCTGGTTTGTCTCTTCGTCAGCAGGACACGGGCCAGAACCGTGCCACTTGTTATTGCAGTCGCAGCATACGCGAGTATGACAGCTACCGCATCTACCCACCTTACGACCATTGCGGTGTTGCTGGATCTGGTCTGGTCTGATCCATCGGCCGCATCTCTTACCCGGACAGTACACACGGTTCCGAGTAGAAAATTCGTGGAACTTCCGGTTCCATGTCTTCTTGAAATCGATGTCGAACAGGTTATCGACATGCTTTAGCGGGATGCAATCTGACGTGCAGCATCTCGGAGGCATCTGCGCTGGGTCTTTGACGGAGAGCTTGAAGCTGCGCTTTAGGCATGACTTGCACATCCGATGCCCGCACTTCAGCTTGGCCGTCTTTGAAGACGGTAGGTCGTCGAGGCATACAACACATTCCACCCTGTTTGAAGGCAATTAATTAGATTTGCATCATTTACCGGTGACTTGTTGCTAGATTTGCTTGACAAACTTACATCTTCGAGTGCTTTTCGGGCGGCGACTGGAGTCCTGAACCCACAAACCTATTCAGAAAAGCTGGAGAAGATATTGAGGAGGAACTCATACTCTGGGACGCTACATGTGAGCTGGGAGCAGTATGCGCCCGCGGAAGCGAGGGCTTCGCAGTGTATCCCACATCAGATTCATAGTACCTCCTCCGATGAGGTCTAATAGGATCGTTAGTATCAACTGCCGAGCATTATTCATCATTAAATTATTTGCATGCTTACCGTCTTGATGAACTAGCCTCTGGTTCGTCGTAATGGTCTCGATGGCGAGGACGAATCCGGGATGTGCTTCGTGACTCGATATGTCCTGATCGCGGTACTGATTTGGACCTTTCCCGTAAACGACGGAGCGTAGTTTCGTATTCGGGTTCTTCATCGGTATCTTCTTCATAAGCAGGTCTTTCTCGATGTTTTGATCGTTGTCGTCGACGGGAGACCCGGTCGACCGGGGGTGCAGGCGGGGTTACTGGGACTTGGACTGGTCTTTTGCGGGCTCGGCGCTTAAGTCTTTCATCCTCTGTAGAATCCGATGACTCAGTGTCAACGCTTGAACTTCTCGATGAAGACGGTGATGGAATCCTCGAGGTAGGCCTGGATCGATACAAAGGGGTGGATCTCGGTGGCGTCGAAAGTTCGTAGGTCTCATCATCTCCGCTGCTACTGGTCACGCTCCTGGTCATGCTCCTAGTCCTGTGTCTCGATTGCGTCCTGGGTCTGGATCTAGACCTAAGTCTCGAAATCATCTTCGCCTGTTCGTCATCGTCGTCACCATCCTCTACCTCGAGATACACTGCCCGACCTTTCCCATTTCGAGACCCGACGGTGGCCGACCGGGGACGGGTCAGTTGCTGTTGTGGATGAGGCATTGGGTCGGTAGCATCTGAGTCGTCGTCTTCGGACAGCGGTGCACCTTGTTGAGAATAAATTTTTAAATTTCTACCGGCAAACCTGTGTATTTCAGGTCCTCGGGGTCGGTAAGGCAGCGAATGGGGGTTGGGATTATGTCGTGAGTCCCAATCATGGTGGCGAGATGGGGAGGGACTGCGTGTCTGGTGTCGACGTCTGGCCCGCTGCTTGGCTGCGACATGCTGTGATTGTGCCATTCGTCCGTTGTATCAGCCCCGTACCTACGGATTCGTAGAAGAGACCGTCTTTGCTCTACTCCTTCGGTTGGTTGAGGAGTCCTGCCGGTATCGTGGGAAATGAACAGCTGGTTACTCCTGAATGGCTAGTTGCATGCACTCAATTCAGTGCTGATTGGGCTGTATGGTTGCAGTCTGCATTAGGAGTGGGATGTGCAGTATCGGGCGAAAACATCCCCAATAGACGTCAAAGTCGTAGGACAATGATGTGTGATGGCACCTAATTACGATTTAATCGTCTACGGGATCCTACACGATAACTGGATCGCGCTGTCGTGGGGAGAGATACGAGAGGTGAGGTATGGGTATGGGTATGGAAAAAGCTGTGGAGGTGAGACAAGGGAGAACAGGTGGTCAGGGCAAATATCGGTTCTAACCCGAACATGATACTGATACAGTACGATATGTAAGGAATAACTATTACTGCTACCTAACCTATCACTGTCTCCGCCTTCGCTGGCTATTCCCCTACCCCTCTGTTCTGACCCTCACCTACGATCTTCACCTGGGGGTCCTTGGGGAATGGCCCGAATGGTTGTTTGAGTGGACCTAAGTGGCCGGGAACCCCCTGGAAAACGACCATTCGTTGGTTGGACAGTGATTCTGGCGGCACAAGCGCGACTAAAAACCTGGCTCCTGACTGGTCCCCTCCATGCCAGATGCCCCTCACACATGTCAAGTTCCAGCCCGTTCGTCACGTTGAGAAAAATAAAAAATAAAAATAAAAAAAATAATAGAAGCTTCTAACCTCTCCAGTCGCACACATGTTTAGAAGGGGAACATTTTCTGTGATGAAGAATTCCAATCAAGTGACTCGGACTAAATACCATTGAAAACAGAAAATCCTTCGTCACGAGTGCGTTAGCTCCTCCTGATCGTCGTCATTTATTCCAATATTCCAAGAAATCATCCTTCCAATGCATTAAAAAGGGGTGGTTGGATGATCAGTCATCAGGCACGCAGGCAGGTAGTAAGTTACACAAGAAAACCGTATCCTACGATAGATCACTGTTCACTGTTCGCTACTCGTCCCTATATATTAATGATTACCATGGTTCCTGAGGTATGATCCAGGTGGTAGGGCGTTTAGCCGTGCAGCCTGCCTCGATTCCTGTGCTAGTGTTACTAAGTTGGATACCTACCTACGTATCTGACACAACATTGCCTATTCGGCCGGTCAGTACTACTACATCAGGTAGCAGAAGAATGCTGCTGTACAACAACAGCAAGTTTCGAAAGTCCCAACTACATATGTAAAGCTGGCTGGACCAACCAGCCCTGTGCAGCCTCAAGCCTAACGGCCCATCCCGTGAATCTTAACCGAAAGTATGCTGGAGAGAATACATGCCCCAGAGCCCGCTTCGCTGTGTTGAGTGTTGATAGTAGCATTGTTCCCTAGCCTACCTACATACATACTTCAGCTTTGTTAGCTTGCATATGTCAGGTAGGCAGGTAGGTAGCTTCAATGTTGTCAACACCATACCAGCCCGGTAACCTAAACTTATCGTTCTCTGGTTCAAGTGAATATTTATTTGGTTAATTTTAGATTGTTTGCAGTAGATTGATCAATAAGGAAGTTATATCCTTCCCAAGTAACTGGATGTAAATCAGATATAAAAATGAGCTCCGTTGCCCTTCGGCATCGGCCGCGCAATTACATAGACTGATCAATCAATACTAAGCCCAAATAAGACACGGCGATATCGCTGCCGGTCCGTTCATACTTTTATGCATATTGAAGAACAATTACAATTAGGCATCTCGTAAGTTATTCAAGGGTAATTATTGTAAATCTTTTTATCCTTTAGAAACTGAAGAGACTGAAGAAACTCGTAAAAGAACCGTACAAGACTATGCCTTAACATTGAGATGTAAGTATGAAGCTCTCAACAACAAGTATTCTATATAATCTAAAGCTTCCTCAAAAATCAGCAAGTTTGAGAGATTGATCGTACCTTTTGCTTCCTAAATTTTGTTTAATATGAGCTTCTTAAGAAAATTGCGGAACATTAAAACTCCGCCCGAGACAGCTTGGGTGCTCTTCTTGATATAGGATATTCCACAGGCCTACGATCATATCTTAGTATTCGGGGCTTTGCCTTTAGGATACTTTCTAATAAGTGTATCTCCCAGGCAATAAAACAATAAGAGATTCACTCCCAAGTATATCTTATACGCGGGCTATCTCGAGGGTTAACTCCTCACCTTGTCTCTACTTCTAGTTTACCGGGTGGATACTAAGTACAAACTCTACCATCGTACTCTTAGTAAACACTCGACATAGACATTGAATTTAGTACGCATCAAAATATTAAGATAGTTAAGCTAAGTCCAACTTTAATTTTAAAGTGATAAAGGGAGTTACTCAAGCGGTTGAATGGTTTGTAGGTGGAAAGTGCCAATAATCTGTTGGAGAACATACAGATAGGTAGCTTTTATAAAGAATATAATCCAATTACCAGTATGCTAATACTATAACTACCTACCTAAGGTACTTAACAAGAAATGAATAACTAACTAACTAATAACTAACTAAACAAAGAATAAAGTTTAATACCTACGAACGAAAGGCACTGACATGTTATAACTATTAGTTACATTTTAATAAAAAGCTCCTTGGAACAATTTTCCAAGTGCGCTCTTTCCCCTTAGGCTGTATAGTAGGTAACTAGTGGTAGATAACTAGTGCTTGAGTCATTTGTTGTTTAGGAGGCAACTCATAAGTTTCTAGTTGCAGTTATAGATTATTATTGAACGAATTAGGTACCTAGATACCTCTTAAGCAACTCATCATAGCGCATCAAGAAATGAGACATCAGGTACACGATAAGAATATTATATTCGCCAAGACACAAGGATGATCCTTTGGCTTAAGAGTAAGTTCGGATGATAAAAGTGCGGATGAGAAACACAACCCATATCCGAAGCTGCTTACATGTATGTAGTGTATGTAGTGAACGCCACGATGTAGGTCTTAAATATTACTAAAAAGGGAAATGTAGAAGTGGTATGGGGGGTAGCTTTTAGGTACATACCTCCTAGAAAGCGGTAACTTAAAGCGTGGCAGCGCTATTTTAGTACAGTGCAGCGTCTGTGACGTCGATACTGCAGCACATTGTTATCGGTAGCCACATTATCGGTAGCAACAGCTGCCCGACCCTGCGGATCCATAGATCTTTGTTCAACTTTGTCCGCGTGCTTCTTTCTTAGACCCTACTTTTTTACATCAATACACAATTCATAATCCCCTACGATCGACGCTGACTTCCACTAAAACCACGCAATGATCACTCTAATTATCTTTTAAATTTTCATTTCCGCTCATCTCCTTACGCACCTGTAAATGCACCTATAATATGTCGATACCCTATTCTCCAATGTACCCTGCCGATCCTCCTACTTCTACCATCTAGAGCTCGCCTTCTCATGTTAACCAATCGTCTACATTTCGTCATAGACCGTTGACCGTACCTAGTGTCTCCAGGTTGTCTCCAGGTTGATGATTGGTTCTTGCGGGGAACCCCTCTGAAACATGCTTCTCCTGCACCAGGTTGGCAGCGTCAAAATTGGTGAAGTCATCCGCTACACCGTAACTTATGCGCCGTCACACGACCGAATACTACCCTCGCCCGACGTTCTATACCTACGAATCCGCAATACTTCCCCCATACCGTTACGAGCCGCCTTTATCCACGGACCATATACTCTAGACGTTTCCGCCTGTCCCGCTCACTACGATCCGAATAGCAAGTTCGAGAATCCCCAACGATATGGAGTCCCTGAATTTGAGCCCATGCTCAAAGCTGGAGGCACGTGGTCATGCCAGTTGATCGTACCAGACAATATCCGCCAGAGCGCCGGAACGGGGGCTGCGAGGGGTGATTTTGGCTATGACACTACAAACGAAGAGGTTCCAAAGACTGCGAGCTGGGTTGTGGAGGTTACGAGCCAGGTTATTTTCTCTAACAGTGCGGCCGTGGGCTACGAGGTCTTGCTTGCGCGCGACGAAAAGAGTCTAAATCTCGGCGGCGTGCCAGTCATCGGCGGTCAAGCTCAGGTCCCACAACCCGGCAAGGTAACCGATTTTCAACAGAGTATAGGCGCAAAAGATGGCCATCACCCCGCCCAGCCGAAGGGTGTCTTTTCGAAGGCCATTGCCTTAAAAGTTGAGGATACGGCAAGTCTTTGGAATACACCACCGCTTCCTGGCTGGGACGAGTGGGACCATGGAAACCACAAAGCATCGGGTGTGAGCAAGGCAACCGGTAGTGTTGCGGAGCCGACGGAGACGGAAGATGATAAGGCAAAAAAGCAACCTCCAAAGAAAATACATCTAGTCGTTGTAACGCATGGCTTGCATAGTAACCTTGGAGCTGATATGCTATACATGAAGGAGAGTATCGATACAGCTGCGAAACAAGCGAAGGCTGATGCGAGAGCCAGAAAAGCACGAGAAAGGGCCGAAAAAGGCGATCCTCCTGATGCTAATGACGACGAATATGACGAAGAAGAAGTCGTAGTAAGAGGCTTTTCTGGAAATGCTACTCGAACAGAAAGGGGCATCAAATTTCTTGGCAAACGTTTGGCGCGTTGGGTGCTCTCTATGACTTACCCAGACCAGCCTTTCCTGCCATCGAGGAAAAAGGTGGCGACTGGAAGCATTGCTAATGCCTTCAAAAGTGATGGCGGGAGTGATGATGCGTCGGGGAAACCTGCTCATAAGAACAGCACCATACACAGGGGCCAGCATCACGAGGAAACCCGCAAGTTTCAGTTTACCAGCATCAGCTTTGTTGGGCACTCTCTAGGAGGCCTTATTCAGGTGTATGCTATAGCATATATCCAGAAGCACTCACCTCAATTTTTTGACTTGATACGGCCGATCAACTTCATTACACTTGCATCTCCGTTATTAGGTCTTAGCAACGAGAACCCTTTATATGTCAAATTCGCTCTGGACTTTGGCCTCGTCGGGAGAACTGGGCAAGATCTAGGCCTTACTTGGCGGGCACCAACTATTGCCAGAAGCGGATGGGGCGCATTAGTAGGTACACTCGGAGAGAGTGCCCACAAGAAGGTAATAGGAGAGGTACAACCGGAGTCAAAACCGCTGCTGCGTATCCTACCAACCGGCCCAGCACACACCGCGTTGAAGAAGTTTCGCAACCGGACCGTCTATTCAAATGTGGTAAACGATGGAATTGTACCGCTGCGCACAAGCTGCCTATTATTTCTAGACTGGCAAGGACTTGGTCGGGTGGAAAAGGCTCGACGTGAAGCCGGCTTGGTTGAAACCGTCGTCGGGTTCGGTTGGGCCGAATTAACAGGTGCCAATGTGTCTTCACGAAGAGGTCCCTGGTCGCCGACAACTGAAGAGCCACCGTCGTTATCACAATCCGGCGTCGAGTCTGAGTCTTCTCATAGCGACCCTCACGAAGTACCTCAGCCACCAACTAACGCAACTGTAGAGGATGACAGGCGCAGTCTTAATATAACCACTCCCCATTCAGAGACGGGTCCAGCAAATCAAAACTCACAGACAAACAACGACTTTGCGTTCTCGGGATTTTTCAACTTCTTCAAATCCAGCGAGTCGCAGAAAGCAGCAACTCGTAAAACACCTCCACCGTCTCCACGGGAGAACAAAATTTATCAGCGCAGTCAAACATTGAAGATAGACGCAGCCACGGACTCGGCATCGTCAAGTAAGTCGAAGGTGTCTTCCGGCCATGAGCTTAGTGAAGACCCAGCAAATGACGTATCTGCTCCTCCGAGGACGACATTTTTTGAGTCCGCGGGCGATATTCTTAATCCCAAGTTACCAACGGTGGACTACTTGATTGATCCTTCAAAGCGTCCACGGACCATATTTCATGATCGCGTCTATCATCCGTCCGATATTCCACCACCACCACTCAAGAAACGTCCGGCCAAGACACTAAGCTTCCGGCACAAGTCAAACACTAATGGCGCCTCTTCATCTTCTAAAGATGATAATATGAATCTCCCTTCGCCGAAAGCCGGAGTTGAGCATGCTGATTCCGAACTTTCAACTCACGACTACGATGATCCTGCGCATACCGACCCTAGTAGGGATACTGATGAAGTCGTTGACAGCTCTAACATGAAGGTTGAGGAAAAGATTGCTCGTGCATACCACCGCGGTTTGAGCTGGCGGAAAGTCTTGGTCAAGCTAGAGCCAGATGCGCACAATAATATCATTGTGCGTCGCAAGTTCGCCAATGCTTTTGGTTGGCCTGTTGTCAAACACTTAGTTGATGCTCACTTTAGCGACAGCGCAGCTGCTCGCATGCGAGACGAAGCCGAGCAAACTGGTGACCGTGCAAAATCTATGGACCAGCGACCCGACGAGACTGGCGCTGAGACCTACACACAAGAAGACGCCCAACCCCGGAAAGGCAAAAATGGTGCAATGGTCCACAAACATACTGCAAGTGAAGCTATTGAGGCCACAGATGCTGTTCCAGATCTACCATCCCTAGCCCAGGAAAGGAAGTCTACTCGTTACAGTTCAAGAGATTCGCCGCCTCGTTCATCGTATGAAAGAGTCGACTCTGCAAGCTGGAGCGACCGCGAGTTTGCGGACAGTGGGGATGATAGCGAAATCGATATGGATATGGCTTATGGCAGGCCTAAGATCCAGTCATCACAAGGGCACGAGGATAGCGACAAGCAAAGAGCTGCCAGCCCGAGCTGGAATTGGACAGAGAAGATTGTGGGTAAAGGTGCCGGAAAGAGAGTAAAGAGTCCTAAGAGCCCTCAAAGCCCCACAAGTCCAAAGCCGGAGAGCGGAAGCGGGAGTGGAAACACGCCTACCGATTCAGATATAAAATAATAGAGCCTCTCCAGGAAGTGTTTTTTGAAACCTGGGAATAGGATTGCCAATTTAGCATGGGAGTCTCAATAGAGGAGCATGGGCAATTGGGCATAGCATGTTAGATCTTTGATTCATCAGTTTGGAATGACAGGACTAGGCCTATTCTGAGATACCATACTATATTGTTTTGATATTAGTGAGCTATATGAACCGAACGACTTCATACATATATTAATTATAATACATACCAAATATCATTCCATTAACTACGATATAGCAATATATAAGTAACTTAGCTTTCTTTTCAATATCTCAAGCCCGAAATGGGTCTTACATCAAGGTAGTCATAAGTATGGCATCCGCAGCCCGTACTATCGTTGGCCAAACTGGCCCATATGTAACGGTGCTAGGGTTGTGTTCGAAATCCCAGGTTGACAATGATATTGTATTCATTCAAAAGACACCGTTAGTCCAGGTGAGCTAGGAATAGATTCGTAACCGAACCGTAGATATATCAATACCTTGTAATAGAAATCCGGGATGAGAAATATCACTATGATCAACAACTGTTCTATTTGTCAACTAACTCTCATCTCATATAATAAATTTGAGCCCTTCTCGCTGGTTCCGAGTCACTTAGGTTCATCACGGATATCTCTACCGCTCTTCAAAGCAATTCATTGTGGCATAGGCAAGTGAAAGTAGTCATCGCCACTTCCTCTTGCGCTAATAGCTTCAGTAATTGTTATTCGAATATGATACTATGGGATACAACGACGTCGTAGCTAGGGAATGGCGGTCGTTGCAATCGTTTCTTTATCTCGTCGACAGGCCTTATAGCGAGGGATTCAATTACGTCTGAATCGTCGGCGTGAGTTTATATCCCGTTGATTTGATACCTATAGGAGTATTAATAAAATCTAAGATGTCTTCTACAATCAAACATTCACTTTTAACAATACAAACAAACGCGGCTACGGCTGTCGTGATCTTAACTATGAACAGTTCATTGTATCTCAACCTATTTACCTAATCGTCCATAAGAATGAGGGCCATTGCTGTCTAACTGTCCCCTTCTAAGCTCGGGGGCTTCCTGCTACTGTTGTTTATGAGCCGTATATCACCCAGAGTATACAAAGCAGTTAATCAATATAAGCCGTCGTTTAATGCACTCATACATAATTGTTCCGGCTCTCTTAGACTAATTCGGCTAACTACCTAGATATCTTGACAAACTCATATAAAGTCGATTCGTGTGATGTGACGTAGGTATATAGGTAACTGGGTACTGGCTATGTACTAAGCTTCATCTTTATATGTAACTTAGGAAATAGACTTATGATACTTCACTTCTCCGTCGCTAATATCCAAGCCGACGTCGAGTAGAGGTAAGACGATCCCAGTTCATATAATATTAGATAAAATATTGCGAATCATTCTCAAATTCTTATGATTTGGCTCTCATGTAGCTTTTATTTAACGGGACTATAAACTATTATACATGGTCTTGAATTACTTTTATGAGAGTTTAGTTGGTTATCCTTAAGTCAGTAGTTATCTTAAACTAAGTACGATTACGAATACATTTAATCTCGAGACTTCATACTAGGTACCTAACCTATAATATGAAGGATATAGCTCTTGCGATTGTTAAATATCGAACTAACAAACCCTATACTGCTCCCTAGCTATTAATTACCTAGGCCGTTGTAAAGCCCCTCTTCTTGAGGCCAGACCTTCTTCCGTCGCTTTGATCTTATTGCATTTCTCATATATGCTGCAATAGGAATTGTAGACATCTAGTTTTAAGCGGATAATTCATACTCTACCTTCATAGTTGCATAACATTACACAGTTAATGCTTTCCACTATAACCTTAGGTACCCATCAAGTAGGATAATCTTCCCTGGGCCCAACAAAAAGGGGGGACTCACCTCCCTAAAGCCTACCTAAGACTATCTTCGACTGAAGTGATTGCGCTATCCTCACATTACTTGCTATAGTATCTGAGGTTCTATAGTTCTAACGACACCCTCACCCCTACCCCTCGCCCTCGCCCGGCAATGGATGCCTCCATCTCGACAAAAGAATTCGTAATGCCTTGTGCTAAAATGTTGATATTGTTATCATCTTAGACTTGTATCGACTACTTGGTCGAGATCAATGTTCGCACAGTAGAGCTATTATGCAAACGCCTTCTCAGCATCATGAACTCTGGACGAAGTCGTACATCTCCGGGCCTGATTTCCCGCCTCGGCTTGCGTAGTCGAATGCCCATCGAAGTCTATGTCTGCACGTCTTTCTCGCTTAGATATCCTAACACTCGTTAGCGACTGTTCGTTTCTGCAACTCCGAGCCCCTATTTCGCGCCGAGACTATGTGAGCAACCTCGTGTAGCGGTTTATGAAGATGGCACCTTGGCGCCGTTCCTAGAGGACCGGATGCCGTACATCGAATCGTCAGGACCGATAGGGTATCTGTAGCCGTAGCCACCCGTAGGCAAGCGCTTATGAATTAGGAGTAGGTATGGCTACTAAGTTAAGATGGGTTGAAGCCTTCAAGGTTCTGGAGATAACCGCGACAGCGTCATCGAAAGCTTTTTACCGGACCGGCGTTCCAGCTGTAGCACGGCATCCCTGTGATTAAAGCCAAGGAAGCAAATCAATTCGGCTTACTGTACCGAAGAAAAGCTCTTCTGGCTGCGGCGGCCAGACTCGGTCAAGACGTAAAGGGGTCTCGATTCTGACACGGGATTGGCGTCCTGTTGGCGCCACACTTCGGTACGAGCCGAGATGGTATATGATTTGCATAGGCTGCACACGCCGTGCAACTTAAAATACCGGCTGCCGAGATGAAATAACCCCCGTTTGAAGGTTGCCACCACATCTATCTTCAGAATCGAGCCCCCTTTCGCCGGTTTCAACATCTTACCGTAGCGAGCGACATTATGTGTCGTCGGGGTAGCCCACTGGAGCGTATGTTTCTCCTTATATCCGGGACGGTTGCTCTGTAGTCCCCAAGCGAGACGTGCTGGCCCCTGATTGACGAGCAGTAGTAATACATGGATGTACGGCAGGCAGTATAGTATTGTGGAGGTTACACGGCAGAGGGCGACCAAAAGTTATATATGTAGACGAACATCCGGTGGCAACAGTGATAAGTGCACCCGGAATACAGGGTGAGGAGAAGGGGTACAAATACCACATCGACAGGCTTCCCCTCAGGCAAACTCGAAAGTCCGAATCAGCCGTCGCGGAGATAGATCTGTGGTAGGCTCCCGTCTCGGGGCCGACATGTGGAATAGATTGCGGCTCGTCTTGAGCAAGATATTTATTTATCTGGGGATTAACTGCATGATTACATGCACCCCGTAACGCCCGTAGCCGCTACACTGGCTTACGACCGCGCAAATCGGCATAACCGTGTCGTCCGGCGCCGATGATGCAGCAGAGATGGGTGGGATGGGAGAAGTAAGGAGGCGAAGTAGGGGGGGGATAAGATCAGATAATACCCATACGGCCTTTGCATTGACCGAATGCATGCCGACGGATTAGGACGTTTTCAGCTTGCTTCTGACATTGCGAAGTCGAATGGAGGTTGCTTTTTTCAACTTTTTCAATTTAGAACAAGTTCACCCTCATCTATACAAAGCGGAGAACGAAGAGCCTCTCTACCCCTTTGTTCTCCAAGTCCCGGCATCGGTACGTCTATCCGGAAGACAGGAATGGAAGCTGAACTGGAAAGCCATGATTAGATGGTTCACGTCGATCCAGATTCCCAAGCAATGCAGCCAAGGCCAGGCCAAGCTGAGGAACCTGAGAGATTATATCATGTACCTGTTCCGAACCAATTTTACCTGCATCGTCTCTTGATTACCGAGCGATATTTTACTTTAGCATCAAAGGTCTGGCTTGATGACGAGGCTACAGATTACGAATCCTGATGTCATAGAGTCTTAAAGAGTCCTTGATCTAGAATAGAACATTGCTCTAGCCCTTCGCCCGCCGGCTTGGAGACATTGTTAGAATAGACTTGGCGTTGATAAGGGCTGGATCTAGCACGGTGGTGAAGTGGAGCGATCTATGGATAGATATCTTGGCGACAACATACTCAGACTAGGTAGTCGAAGCATATCTCAGAAAGGCAGGAGTTTTGTTGCCTCATAGGATTGGCGGATAAGAAGGAAAATGGCGACATGTTCATCAACGGCGTCTAGCTCCGGATGATTCCATCTAGCTCCGGCTACTGCGGACGGCAATGTAAGGGGTTCCTTTACCAAGTAGCCGCCGTAATACTTTGTTTTGTCTAGTATTTCGTAAGGATGACGGCAACATTCACGATGAATACGATGACAAGTACCATCTATTCCGATAGGCTCTTTAGGCTCCAGAGGAATGGTATGCACCGCATTGACTGGAGCAATTTCGCTTCCTTCGTTCCGAGCAAGATCCTTCATAGGCTATACACCGTACCTGAGAATACGGCGATGTTGTTCCTGGCAGAAACCTTCATGCCTACGCGGCCATTTTTCCTCGGCATCGCTTGGACCTGTTCCTGTTCCTATTCTTTTTCTTAAACCTGTCTTGATTCTGCCCCCTAAGCTACCTATGTATATCGTATATGCACCAACTGCATTAAGAAGCTAGTAATAAGATACCCCTTAGATGCGTAGTTAATCAAATAATTAATATCTCAAGACAGTGCCGAACCACTAATAGGCCGCATAATTCCCCCACAACTTTTCGATGGACTAGTCGAGATCTTCGACCCCCCATTCGACCCCCATACACTTGTGTAGTATCGAGATTCGAGATAGGGTGGATTTACACCACTATACCGGCATCCGTGGGGCACGGATCGCTAATAAATTGTCACATAAGACGACGCTATTACACGTTGATGGTGGGTAGGCGACCCCCGAGCTCGAAATAGTAGCGATATCCCGGGGAAATCGTCAGGTTTTTTCCTTAATCGAGGGGGATCTGCGAGGTAACTAGCTAGTCCAGATCCTTGCGATC